CAATTCACCATTCTCTAAGAAAAATACCATTTTCATTATGTTCTGGGGAGAAGTGGGAAAAAGTCTTCACCACAGATATTGTGCAGAAAATGAAGCTTCCAAACTGTTGAGTAATTTTCAGATTTCTTTTCCTGCAGCTTTCGCTGTGATCAAAGATGGGACATGTTAGATCATTTTGATATTGTGTCACCACCGTAATTGTAGCTTGGGTGTTCTGCTTGTTGGAATAGAAGACCAGGATCTGTGATTGTGTGGGAAATGTGCATCATGTAAAAGAAGAAACAGGGAAAGATGGAGAAACAAGTAAGCAAGCCTTTTAGCCTGTCTTTGTTAGAATTGAGGCTTGATAATTCTCATTCTGTGTCCCACAGCTGGTGTTAGGCCCTAGTTTAAATAAGCTGTTAATGCTAATTTTCACCTATTCATTAACACCTAAGGTAACCCACCACAAGTTTCTGTAATTTTGATCTTCTTCCTGCATTTTTTAGCACTTGAACAGTCATTTAACAACTCCTGAAGTGGCAGACAAATGCTGTGGAAGCTTAGAAAATTCACAGCAACAACCGTAATTTCCTAGTGCAAGAGAACTGAAAAAGGTTTTGACCATACTTAACAGATATAAATATAGAGCTGATGACGAACCCACTTTGTTGTGGTGATACTTGAGGGTGGTGTAGACTATGAATTCCAGGCAAGTAACCTGAGACTTGGGACATCCCCAGAATGATAAAGCCACATTTAAGAAGTAATAGTATCATACTGTGTTCCTGCTAATATTTATAACCACCTACACTTTGTTTTCTGTGGCTCAGACTTACAGCAGCATTAAAAATAATTTCTATAGATTCTCTTTCTTTGAGAAAAAGAGAGAATATCAACAAATGTTTTGTGGTTTGTTTTTTTTTTTGCACCTCAGCTGCAAGGTGCCATTTAGATTAGGGTTAGGGTTAGGTTTCGGATTCAGGCACTCATAAAGCCTACATAGACAGGGACAATTGGGTTGCAAAAGTCATGCCGAGTGGAGCACAGCACTGCAAAGACATTGCTTCGTCCAGCCTTTTCTCATTTGTCCAGCCATGGTGATTGGGACTTTAAACTTAGGTCCAACGTGCCATTTAGATTGGAGTAAGGGTTACTGTTCAGAGATCTATAATCCCTACATGTCCAGGGACACTGGGCCTGCTAAACACAAGATAAGGAGAGCATGGAAGTGTACCACTATGAATATTTCAGCACTTCTTTCATCTGGAGCAGCTGTGGTGCTTGGGACATTAAACTCAGCTGCAAGGTGCCATTGAGATTATGGTTAGGGTTACTGTGTCAGTTCAGACTGTCATAAAGTCTAGAGCTGCAGGGACCCTTGGGCTGCAAAAGTCATGCCTAATGGAGCACTGCACTATAAAGACATTGCTTGGTCCACACCTTTCTCGTTTGGGACAGCTGTGGTGACTAGGACTTTAAACTTAGCTGCAAGGTGCCATTGAAATTACGGTTAGGGTTACTGTTAAGAGGTCTATAATCCCAACATCTCGAACACTGGGCCTGCTAACCACACTATAAGAAGAGCATGGCAATGTACTACTCTTAATCTTTCAGCACCTTTTTCATCTGACCAGCCACGGTGCTTGGGACTGTAAACTCAGTTGCAAGGTGCCATGTAGATTAGAGTTACGTTTAGGGTTAGGGTTCAAACTATTATAAAGGCCACAGCACCAGGGACACTTGGGTTGAAAAAGGAATGTGAGTGGAGCACGGCACTGCAATGACATTGCTTGTTCCACACCTTTCTCATCTGCGACAGCCATGGTGATTAGGGCCATAAACTAAGCTCCAAGGTGCCATTTAGATTATGATTAGTGTTAGGGTTACCATTCGGACTGTCATAAAGGCTACAGCTCCAGGGACATTTGGACTGAAAAGTCATGCCTAATGGAGCGTGGCACTGCAACAACATTGCTTCTTACCATACCTTTCTTGTCTGGGCCAGGCATCCTTCTTGGGACATTAGCATCAGCTGCCAGGTGCTCTTCTGATTAGGGTTAGGGTATTGGGTTATGCAAAGTGTTCAGAGATCCATAATAGCTACAGCTCAAACACCAGGGCAGCAAAGATCATTACAAGGGGAGCCTGGCAGTGTACTACTATTTTTGTTTTCACAGCATTTTCATGTGGAGCAGCCATTCTGCTTGGGACTTGAAACTCAGCTGCAAGGTGCCATTTGGATTAGGGTTAGGGTTAGGTTTCAGATTCAGGCACTCATAAAGCCTACAGAGACAGGGATAGTTTGGTTGTAAAATGCATGCCGAGTGGAGCAAGGCACTGTGAAGAAATTTCTTTGTCCAGCCTTTTCTCATCTGTCCAGCTATGGTGATTGGGACTTTAAACTTAGGTCCAATGTGCCATTTAGATTTGGGTAAGAGTTAGTGTTCAGAGATCTATAATCCGTATATCTCCAGGGATACTGGGCCTGCTAAACACAACATAAGGAGCATGGAAGGGTACCACTGTTAATCTTTCAGAACTTTCTTCATCTGGAGCAGCTGTGGTGCTTGGTAATTTTAACTCAGCTGCAAGGTGCCATTTAGATTAGGGTTAGTCTTAGGGTTAGGGTTCAGAGTGTTAGAAGGGCTGCAGCTGCAGGGACCCTTGGGCTGCAAAAGTCATGCCTAATGGAGCACTGCACTGTAAAGACATTGCTTGGTCCACACATTTGTCATTTGGGACAGCCTTGGTGATCAGGACTTTAAACTTAGGTGCAACATGCCACTTAGGTTAGTGTAAGGGTTACTGTTGAGAGGTCTATAATTCCTGCATCTGTAGGAACACTGGTCCTGCTAAACACAATATAAGAAGAATATGGCAATGTACTACTCTTAATCTTTCTACACCTTTTTCATCTGACCAGCCATAGTGCTTGGGACTCTAAACTCAGTTGTGTTATAAAAATTCATCTTAGCCATGATCTGATTTAATTATTTTATTTCAATTGATTAATATTGAGAGGCAATAAGCAAGCAGCGTGGCTGCGCCAAGGAGTCTCCGCTCCACCAACGATGCACCCCGGGGTCTTTGGGGTTCAGCCTTTTATACTTTGTGGTCCTGGGTTTCAGCCAATCCTGTCTTCTCCTTTACATTGACGTAGCTCCTTTCTATTGTTCTTCCTTGGTTTCTGGGTTCTTGTCTCCGGTTGAGAAACTTTTACCCAACCCCTTCCTTAAAGCACTCAAGCAGTAAAACAAAGCCATAAAGCACTCTTATTAATTTAACAGTCAAAATGATTAAAGAGGGGACTAGTCTATTCCCTTGTTTCTTCTTCTTTCCCATCATTACATTGACAGCAACATTTTTTAGACATGGTACCCTGGTCACAGGTGCATTGGTAACAGTGATTCCTAAGTTCTTGACACAAGTCATTCTCATATTCTTTACAGTTGCAAGGTGCCATTTAGATTAACGTTAGGATTAGGGTTATGGTAAGGGTTCAGACTGTCATAAAGGCTACAGCTCCAGGGACACTGGAAAAAGGAATGCCAAGTGGAGCACGGCACTGCAATGACATTGCTTGTTCCACACCTTTCTCATCTGGGACAGCCATGGTGATTAGGACCCTAAAGTAATCTCCAAGGTGCCATTTAGATTATGATTAGTGTTCAGGTTACTGTTCAGACTGTTGTAAAGGCTACAGCTCCAGGGACATTTGGGCTGCAATTCTTGTTTCACTCCTTTCTCATTTGGGAGATCCACTGTGATTAGGACTTTAAACTTAGGTGCAACATGTCATTTAGGTTAGGGTAAGGTTTACTGTTAAGAGGTCTATAATCCCTACATCTCCAGGGGCACTGGGCCTGCTAAAAACAATATAATGAGAGCATTGCAGTGTACCACTATTAATCTTTCAACACCTTTTTCATCTGACCCGCCATGGTGCTTGGGACTGTAAACTCAGTTGCAAGGTGCCACTTAGATTAGGGTTAGGGTTAGGATTATGGTTCAGACTGTCATAAAGGCTACAGCTCCAGGGACCCTCAGGCTGAAAAATGCATGCTAAGAGGAGCAGGGCTCTGCAATGACATTGCTTGATCCACACCTTTCTCATCTGGGACAGCCATGGTGATTATGACTTTAAACTTAGGTCCAACATGCCATTTAGATTCGGGTAAGCGTTACTATTCAGAGATATATAATGCCTACATCTCCAGGGACACTGGGCCTGCTAAAAGCAACATAAGGAGAACGTGGCCATGTGCCACTATTAATCTTTCAACACCTTTTTCATCTGACCAGCTTTGGTTGTTGGACTGTAAACTGTTTTTGCTCAAATGTTTAGTCTAGCCAAGGGCTTTCTGAGTCTCATGCTCTGCCAGGGAGGAGGCGAAACTGGGAGGAAGCAGAGACAGGACACCTGACCCAAACTAACCAAAGAGGTATTCCATACCACAGCACGTCATGCCCAGGATGTAGAACTGGGGGCAGTTATCCGGAAGGTCTGTCTCACTGCTCGATCGGGCTGCATATCGACAGGTGGTATTGTATTCTCTTCCCTTGTTATTTCCCTTACTGTTATTATTATTGGTGGTAGCAGCAGTGGTTTGTGTTATACCTTAGTTACTGGGCTGTTCTTATCTCAAGCCATGGATGTTACATTCTTTCAATTCTCCTCCCCAGCCCTTCAGGAGCAGGGGTGGAGGAAGAAAGCGGGGGAGTGAGCGATAGGTCTGCGTGGTTCTGATTTACAGCCTGGGCTTAATCCACGACACTGACCTGTTTCTATATGGGGTGAAAAATGTGCCATTTTGAGGAATGCAAATTTCTGTGAGGGACTTAAATTCATTAGATAAGACGTAAAATCTGCTGAATACTGAAACTTTCATTGTATGTCTGAGATTTTTTTTTTATCTATTATTTTGATGTGCTGAGCTAGAAGGGAAAACTTAGAACCAATAAATACTTAATGACAGTAAGAACAATCTTAACTAACAATACCTGTTTCTTCTTATCAGAATCTGGTTCTGCTATTACTGCTTCCTGTATTGGTTTAGGGAACTCTACAACACCACCACCCGGACAGGCAGGAAAACCAGTGCCAGGATACAATGGTAAGGCTGTGCTAAACTTGCTAGTAGGAAAGTATATTATTTATATTCCTAAGTGAATTGTCTTTAATTTTCATACCTTGAAAAAAAGCAAATTAGAGTCTTATTAACACATTTTCTTCCTTCATGTAACAGGAAGCTCTGCTTTTTTGTGTGTTGTGGAATGTGATTGTGAAGAAGAAATTCAGAGTTATGTTCAAGAAAATTGATTAACTACTCCTACCTTTATTATATATTCTATATCCTTCTATGCTGGATAAAACAAAGATATGAAAAAAAAATCTGTGCTTCAAGGCTTTATTTACAGTTACACTGTTTTAAATGAGAGCAGCAGTAAAAATACTATTGGCAAATAAGGAAGAAAAAAGTAATAACTATAGGCAAAAGAGGAAATGATAATTAGACAAATAATTGCTATAACTTGAACTATGAGTATTCTGTTATACCCGTATTTTCAATTTTCACAACCTACATAGTTTTGCTTTAGGAGATGTACATTGATTAATTATGTCTCAGAGACTCATCGATTCGATTGATTAGGTTTGAATCAATTAGATTAATTAGATTTTTAATTCTTTACTGTTGAGGGTGGAGAGGCATTTGAACAGGTTGACCAAGAAGGTTGTGAATGCTTCATCCCTGGCAGTGTTCAAGGTCCGGTTGGACAGGGTTTAGAGCAACCTGGTCTCTCACGAGGTGTCCCTGGATGATCTTAAGTTCCTTTCCAACCTGAATCATTCTATGATTCTATGATTTTCTTTTGGCTGTACAATTTTGTATGAGAATTATTCTGAAAAGCATAAAGAAAATTCTTACCGAGGTCTTTCTCCTACACAAACAAGTCTTAGTGATCTAGTAAGCAGCTTGGCAAGGTTATAAACCTCTATTTGTACTCACCTCATAGTTTTTCAAGAAAATCAAACTCAGTTTTTTGCTTTTTTTTACAGGTACATATAATAAGGGGTCATATTTACTAGAGTTTTAAGTACATTATTTTTCAGTACTTGTGGAGCATTTTTATTTCCAGGTGGGAGATATGTTAGGCTATGGACAAACATTAAAAGGACGACTTCTCATTGTCTGAAAGGTGTTTACATTCAGAGGGTTCAGCTACAGGATTAAGAATTGAAAAATATTTTCATACCTAGGATCCCTGTTTTTTAACACAGTTTTAAATAATTATTAGATGTCCGAAAATTAATTACGTTAGAAATCAAACCATCTTCAGGAAAAGTCCTCACATCACTGGGCAGAAAGAGCTGTGTTTTTTTTCTAATACGTGCAAGTGAAAGTGGACATTAAAGAAAATACTAATTTTCAGCAGCTATGGGTTCTGCCATTTACAGTTATGGTATGAAGACAAGCAATAGCTTAAAAAAAAACATTAAAAACCCACAGCCATCAAGTTTGTCCACAGTTGTAATAAATAGGGAGGAGTAGAAGAATGTAATTGCATTGCATGTGCTATCAGATGATAGGCCTAGAAAAAAGTATGAATAGCAAGAATATAAGCATTTCCTACAAATTCTTTTGAACATTGGGCCTAGTGTAAGTGAAGAATTTCTTTAAATAGAAAGAAGGAAATGCCTTTAGCATGCCCTAAAACTGAAACATGAAAATAGCACTAAAACTCATTAAAGCTTTATGAAAAACTTTACTTCTTTCAGGCCAATTATATCCTCCTGTAATGCAGCCATTTATAAAGCAGTGGATCAGTATTGGCAGCTTTCTTGCTGTCACCCACTTCTGTTCTGATAGTGTTTTGCTGCTGTTACTATGTTAATTGCAAGAGATACTCACACCCTTTAGAAACTGGATTGTGTATTTTTAGATTGTACATGCAACTGTTAATGGTTTTGGACATCGCTAAATTATGTTGTATTTATGCTTTAATATGAATAGAAAGTTACAAAATCTTTTTCTTTCTCCCTTGTTTTTATCACAGCCAAATTCTTTCCTGCTACAGTATTGCTAGAATAAACTGATTTGCGTGCTAAGTTTTTAAAATATGAAGAATAAAAGCAGTATTTAGCTGTGATACCAAAGTGCAGTGGCAGAAATTCCATTTAAAAGTGAATCAAGACACCATACTGATTTCTAGCTCTGTTGTCTTAAATCAGACATTATATTGTACTTTATTTTTGATCTACTTGCTGTCTTACCAGATAATTTAGTAACATTGTTTTCAAACTGAGGCAACAACACATTTTGAAGAATTAAGTCAGTCCTTCAGTGATCTAGGGGTGAGAAGTTGATTTCCCTTCCCCAAATTTTTGTACATTGAAATACACTGCTTGCAAGAAGGACAGTAAATGTATGATTATTTGTAGTAATTTAGATCCAGCTGAACATTGCTTTCCTTGCTTGGACAGGTTTCAAAAAGCACCATTTTAAATCAATGTCCGTTGAGTCTGACAAAGCCTTCTGTCTGTTTTTCCATGGTTTAATCATTTCACTTTATTTAATTCCATTTACCAAATTGTTGTCTGTTGTTCCTTCCTTATACCTGCACCCTCAGATGGAATGGTTGTAGTAGATTTCCCAGAAGAGTGCAAGGAAGAAGCAGGGCAATTTCAGGTGGTTTTCCTCGGAAACCTCAGTACCAGGGTATGATGCTTCCACTGAAAGTGATGGGCCAGTGTCACCCAGGGAAAGGGCTTCATTGGAAGGTCTGGATTCTTTGCTGTACTCAGGCATTACCCCGCTGTGCAGCTCTGAGAAGTTCATGAGCTACTTTATCTCTGTGCTAGACTAGAATAAGCCATGTGAGCTGGGGAGCATTTTTCTGGGTCTCTAGACATATTACTGCTAATGGTATTTCTCATACTAACTGGGTTAGCTTCCAGTAATCTTAGTTGTTGTTTCCTACTCATGTTACCTGCATGCTTTTTTCCTGTATTGTCATGTATCTTAATGGTCCTTTGCTATTTGGAAGTTTCAGTTTTCCACTATGAAGGTGTCACTTGATTTTCAGTTCTCAGTTTTTCCCTTTTGGGTCTTTGTGCTATTTCTGCTCCCAAAGTGCAGTATTATTTAAGACTTTTTGTACTTAAGGCTCAGTGTTAATAAGGTTAAAAGATTATCCAGTTTGGCATTTCCAAATTACTTAATTCCTTTTGTTGCTTGATGTATTGCCGTTCTGAAATGTGACACATAATGAAGAAAGACACTGTCCTCCACCTAAAAATACACTAATCAGGAGTTCTTTTCCTATATTTTTACAGTGATGATTCTGGATGAAAATAAGGAACCAGTGAAGGCAAAGACTTTAGGAAATATTGTGGTAAAGTAAGCAAGCTAAATATCTTACTGTTAAGGGAATCTTCCTACATGGATTGTCTTTTGCCTGAAGTTTTTATGTATAACACAGTAATTGAAGTAATGAGGATTGAAAAGTATGGTTGTCTCTGATACTGATATCAAACTGCCAGAACTTTCAATGTCCGTTAATACTGAAAGATTGAAAATCACAGATGAAATTGTATGAGTGAATGAGTGTCTGTTGCTGGTTTGGTTCTTTTTTTAGACAGCAGAGTTTACCATTTTCTTAATTACCATCTGTTGGCACAGGATGAACTGTTTCTGTTGTGATGTGTGAGCAAGATACAGAAGTATTCTCTTCACTACTTTTTCTTTCAGTTTAGTGAAACAGTACAGTGGGGCAGATTGCCATGCTTTGGTTTATGGGCACGATGCTGCCTCCTCTTTCGCTATCTTCAAATCCCAGTTGATGTATACTCTTAGAGGGAGAATGTATGTTCTCTCTGCGGTGCTTTGCATGAAACACACAGTGTTCAGTTAGGGTAGTACTTGGACAAAATACATACAGGAAAAGACTCCAGCAAAAAAAAAAAAAAAAAAAAAAAAGGAAAAGGAAGAAAAAACTTCAGCTTTGCATCATGTGGGTGATTTTTAGTACCACTGACCAGATTCCTGCAAGATGAGTCCCATAACCTTAAAAATTATTTTCAAAGTAAGTTTTTCTTAGATAAAGAGGCCTCTGTTTAGATAACATCAGTTAAATTTATTTTACCTTCTGCTGCCTCACTGTTGGCAGAAGATTGTCTTAGTTAGGTAAAGACTGATAGACTACTGCTTGCCACAGTACATGCCAGCCCTGTGTTCTGGATGTTTCATAGGCTTTTAGGCAAATGGCATTTTCCTCGGACGGATACCTGCTTTGTGATCAACACACTAGCTGTAGCCACCTCCATCTTCAGTCACAGAAAATATTTCAGTTCTGAACACTTCCAAACTGCCAGCAATTACAGGACCTGAAAGAAATGCATTCATCCGCTTCTTTTGTGGTAAAATCTGGGAGAGTTTTGGTAGCTCAGTCTTTGCTGCTTTTTTAGATGAATGAAAGAAAATATCAAGATTAGCATTAACCTTCAGTGAATTGAAATACTGTCAAAAGCCAAAAGATTGGGACAGATGTAGCAATTTTGATGAGCTGTTAGAGAACTTGGCTGAGGACTGAGGCCATGGCCACATGAACTGGCCATAAAAGCTCTAGACACTGGACCTTGCTGCAGACGTGTGGGCTGGCTGGCCTCATAGCGCTTGCCTGGGAGTCAGAATTACCGAAGTGTGGAGGTTTTTTTTGCTCAGCTGTGCTAGCGGTCTAATGTAACTAGGCCACTGTGGAGACTGAGGTGGTATCAGATGAAGTTATTGGACTGTTTGACACAGATGAGTGCTTTCAGGATGAAGTTTATACCCTACCTAATTTTCAGCACCTTAGGTCTAAGCCAGCAGGGCACGCAACCATGTGTTTAAATGCACACACAGTCTTCCCTGGATCAGCAGATTCATATTTAGACATAGTTGTCGTGTGACATATGTAAGATTGTGCATTCATTCCATTGCTGAGTGTGAATAATGAAAATTGCTCCAGCCTTTAATAAAGACTGTGGTTTGCATGTCAGTAACCCAGGATGGAGTGAAGGGCCGTCTTTCAAAGCTCTCTCATGCCTGATACCTGATAAAACGTAGGCTTGTAATCAATGAAGAGAGAGAAAGGTACTTTGTAAGAAAATTGATCCTAGCTTTCAGCCATTCAGCTAGGATCAAATTAATGGCCTTCAGATGGGCTCATGTCTCTCCGGAGACTTCAAGGGTGACATGGTTAGCTTAGGGTAGGTGCCTTTTGGTTGTCTGCCAAAAGAGAAGTGAAATGGACTCCATCCTTAGCAACTCTGCCAAACTGGCTGAATTACACCTACTAAGAGGTACTGTCAGTAGATGTGTGCATATGTTTGAGTCATTACTATCATTTCAATGAGAAACTGAACATGAGCCAGCAGTGTGCGCTCACAGCCCAGAAAGCCAACCGTATCCTGGGCTGCATCAAAAGAAGTGTCAAAGGAGGAGATCCTGCCCCTCTAGTCTCATGAGACCTCACGTGGAGTACTGTGTGCAGTTCTGGTGTTCTCAACATAAGATGGGCATGAAGCTGTTGGAGCAAGTCCAGAGGAGGGCCATGAGGATGATAAGAGGCTGGAGCACTTTCTGTATGAGGACAGGCTGAGAAAGTTGGGGCTGTTGAGCCTGGAGAAGAGAAGGTTGTGTGGAGACCTCATAGCAGCCTTACAGTATCTGAAGGGGGCCTACAAGGATGCTGGGGAGGGACTCTTCAGCAGACTCTGTAGTGATAGGACAAGGGGTAAAGGGTTCAAACTTAAACCCATTTAAATCTGAACTTTTAAGGAGGAGTTCAGGTCAGATATAAGGAGGACGTTCTTTACTGTGAGGGTGGTGAGGCACTGGAACATGTTGTCCAAGCAGGTTGTTAATGTTTCATCCCTGGCAATGTTCAAGAACAGGAGGGACACAGCTTAGAGCAACCTGATCTAGCGGGAGGTGTCTCTGCCCATGGCTGGGGGGTTGGAACTAGATGATCTTAAGATCCTTTCCAACCCAATCCATTCTATAATTCTATGACTCTATGATTAAGTGGCTGTCAGGAGTAGATATTACTGTATTAGATGGTCCTGTTTGCTGTTATTGTCAAACTCTTAAAGCCAGAATTTATCTTCCCTAATGTGGCTCCACATTTAGGCATTTGTCTTAAGTGATTACAAGTGTGTTTATCTATCGATTTTATTGCTGGTTTTGCTTTGGTTTTGTTTAACTTGCCCCACATGACTTTTGCTGCAGTCCCATAAATTGTCAGGGGTAAAAGGGGAATTCTTGTTTTGTTTTGCTTTTTTTGCATTGGATTACGCAAGAACAAATAATGGCACAGGGACATTATTATTTTTAACATGTGCATATTTATTGCAACTGGGGGGAAAAAGGGGGGGGGAAAGAAATTGTATTGTAGCATTAGTCAATGGTTTGTGGTGCTCTGCTCAATCTTTGTACAGTATTTAGAGAGCAAATAGATGTTTAAGAAAAAGGATAGTCATTTAATATTTCTTATAATGCATTTTAGAAAAAAAATTAGTATCTATGCGGAAGTCTGAAGCAATCTGTAGCCAGGAATGTAATCAAGATGTGTAACAGAAATGCTAAGCAAGAGAGCTTAAAGGGTAGTTCCTTGGTATCCCGTTGAAGAAAGTAAAGAAAAATCTTGTAAGACTTGGCGGGTCAACATGTGGGCATTCTAATTTGGGATAAGCATATAAGAAAGGTCACAGCTCTCCTTTATGCTCTTCCTCTTCCCAGGAAGGAAAGTGGTTTCAGATAGTGAAAACAAGGGGAGAATCCACCCAAAGCCAAAAATGAGGGGTATATGGCCTTAGCTCAGAAGAAATGCAGATAGAAGCTACCCGAGATGCCAAAATAGCCAGTGAAGATCTAATCATTTTATAGGCTCTGTAATTAATGTTGTCCATTTTTCTGTTTTGAAACTGTGACAACTCAAGGAAGGACACGTTGCAGACCATTATGAGTGGCTTGGCCTCGGGGAAGATTGCTTGAGGTAGAAAAATGCTTGCAGAATCATGTGAAGCAAGTGTGTCATCCTGCATAGACCACTTGCAATACTTCCTTTTAGCAAAGGTCATACAGGTAGGAATAGTAAAAATTTGCTAGATTTATAAGATGAAGGACTGTACCCTAGAAGGCAGTCATTTTCAAAAGGAACATTTTATGTTACAGTGGATAAACCTCTGATCACCGAAGACCTGCAAATGAAAGCTGCTAGTGTAACTAAGCAGGCAATATGATTCCTTGTTATTCAGTAGGGACAACTGAAAAGGAACTATTATTACTGTCTGTGGATGTGATGTTAGTAAAATCATTAATGCATTATGTTCAGTTCTTGTGTCTGTATTTCAAAAGACTATTGATAAAGTGACTGTTTTTTAGAGAAAATGAGTGTCTACAGTGCTGGAAAGCTTGGGTTAAATTTACGATGTAACTTGTGGTATGTAACTTGTCCAAGATGAGTTAAATAACTTCATCAAGGTCAGGAAATTCCCCCAGGAAAAGACATCTTTGAGAGATGTCTGTTTAGTCTACCATAAAGAGTTTGAAAGCTGAAGCTAGTTATATTGTGATGAGAAATAAAATACAGTTTTAACAGGGAAAGTATTAAACCAGTGGGACAAATTCTTTGGAATATAGTGCTTTTCTTTGACACCTTTAGGTCAAGCCTGGGTTTCTATTTTAACCAAAGGTTACGGGATTGAGGCAGGATTTAATATATGGCATTCTTTAGCCTGTGTTATATGGGAGGTCAGATCAGGTGACCATGAAAAATCTGTGCAGAAGATTTCCCTCTGCTAGCCTTTCACATGTTTATTGGCTTTGTCTTTTTCCTTTTGCAAGCAAAACAATGAGTAGGGCTTTCAGTGTGAGAGCAATCTGGGCAAAGATGAGTTTTCTAACAGATCTCTGGCTGAGCACATGTAAGTAGCTTTTGAACTTTTTCCAGTGCTTCCACTAGATTTTGATGGGTTTCTCTCTTCCCTACTAACTGTATTTTTTTTCACACTGAGACTGACTACTGTAGTCCCCTTTCAGCTAACTAAAGTAGTATTTCATGCAAACTGATGAATGTTTGAGATCCTCTACTCTTACCTCTTCACCCTTTTTCTTGTGCCGTTGTTCCCAGTGTCTGAAAAAGCTTCTAGACTCCAGATGGCTTTTGAACTTGCAATCAAAAAAATGTTTTAAGACTGATGTTTATGCACAGCTCTACATAAATGCTGAGTAATAATTATAGCTGTCAGTCAGGATGATTTAGCTCCATTCACAAGCGCAAACTCACTTAACAATGGCTTACACTTGCCTTGACTGGCTGTAATGAGCAGCTTGTGAGTACTAATGCCTACCATAAAATAAAAGGATGCCTTTTCTGAAATACAGGCAAGGTAGTACCTCTAATAGCTTTTGACTTTCATTTGTACTTTCAGAAATCTACTTTTCTGTGTAAATTATCTTTTGAGTACTGTGTCTATAATTGCCAACCACAAATTGGAACTGGAACAAATTCCAACCACAAGGGATCCTACAACATTTGGATGAGTGGCATCCTGAAAGGATGTGACACACAGAGTCAGATTTTCATGGGCTAAGGTAAAGGTGGGCTGATCTGTAAAAGATCAGCCACCATTGTATGAAAAATAAATGAACTGTGAAACAGTGATAAAAAAACAGATGATTGTGATTTAATATTGTCTAGCAGAAAACAGCTACTGTGAAAGCACTTCAGAGTGTTTTTATGATGCTGCCAAGCTCACCTTAGCTTAGTTTCTCCAATTTGTAATGAAACTACCTTCTTATCTTTGTAAAATGGAACCAGAATAATCTTTGTAAAATGAACCCATATAATTTACATAATGAATTTACACAGTTTACCTAGTTTTCCTGATGTTGTCCTATATGTATTCAACCTTGAAATGAGAAATGGGCCTGGATTTTTATTCCTGTAGTTCTACAACCGTCATTTTAATTGCACTAGAGTGAATTGAGAATTGCATCATTTGTACTGCTGCTCCTGTACTGGTAAAAAGTAGGCATAAGCAAGATCAAAATTTGGAGCTATACATCTTTTTTGAAGTTTGAAATCCAAAGGTCAGCTTTTCCCAAGTTCACATGTTTTGATTCACCTCAGAGTAGATTTCTGGCTTAAACCTCAGCTTAGGTTTGAAACTTGCCTATTGTTTGCTTGCTTAATGGGTTGAGCTGACTGATTTAGAATTCTCAGTAGCCTGATCCAGAATAGCTGGTAATACATTCATATTTCAGAAAAAGATGGCAAGCTTGTCTTGAATTTGTCTTTGTTGAAGCTCATGACTGTTCTTTACAGAAGGAAAAAGGAATGATGAGATAGAAGATGCTACTGTAGTTATGACCATTTAAAATATTTATATGATACATATAAAATAAAAAGCACGAATAGTGTAAGGGAGGGCTTATCTTTGAACTGACAGCAGATGCAAAGGCTTCACACTGGCTGGTTTGTGGCTTGTCATGCAGGATGAGAAAAAGAAGTTTACAGACAGCTAGAGAAATACAGTACATGTTCCAAGGGGAAACCAATCAAAGCAGCTTCTTTTTGTATCATGGAAATGATGATGAAGGAACCTAACTCCTCCTTGGTCTTCTGTGGTACTGTCACTTGTGAAAGGAAAGCAGGACCATCTCTGGGGCAATGGTATTTACTTATGCATACCAGACATTTTTTGGTCAATATATCCTCTTAATACAAATAAACCCAAAAGGCCTTGAATATCAACTCAGTGCTGGGACAAGGAGGCAACATTTTTTTAAATACAGGACTTTTGTAGGTGTTTTGTGTTATGATTCCTAGGGAGAACAGACCCAAACCAAACATCTCAAAATGTTTGGGTTTTCTCTTTTTTTGTCTGTTTTTTTTGTTTTTTTTGGGTTTTTTTGTTTTTTTTTGGGGTGTTTTTGTTTTTTGTTTTTGTTTTTTTTTTTTTTAATGGAGGGATTGCCAAGCCCTTATTTATTATATTTGAGAAGTCATGGCAGTCTGGTGAAGTAAATTCTTTACTGTAAGGGTGATGAGGTGCTGGAACAGGTTGCCCAGAGAAGATGTGGGTGTTCAATCCCTGGCAGTGTTCAAGGCCAGGTTGGAAGGGGGTTTGAGCAACCTGGTCTAGTAGGAGATGTCCCTGCCCATGGCAGGGAGTTGGAACTAAATGGCCTTTAAGAGTCCCTTCCAGCCCAAACCATTCTATGATTGAGGAAAGGCAGATATGTTTGTTTTCAGGTTGCTGTTATTTTAAGACTATCTCATTTTCTCTCTTCTGTCTCTTTGCACATATGATCCACGTCTGCTTCCTATGGAATTCATGGAATCATTCCCATTGACAGCAGTGGGATGGAGGTATTTTTGTCTCTGGGCGTTTTAATTCTCATGTCCTGGCAAAATTCCAATACACATAATTACTTTTTGGCAAGCTGGATTCTACCTTTATTGATTTTACTAATTACTTGTGTTTGCACAGCACCTAGAAATTCTAGTCAGTAATGATGCTAAGAGCTTTACTGTCATGGAAGTATTTTATGTGCGTATTCCTCTGGAATTACTTTGCTTGAAAGATGGACACATGGAGGATGACATTCAGTTTTTGCTTAGTCAATGGAATGGAAGCCTAACAGCAAGTAATATTTTACAGAAAGCCTTGGAAGCACATTGTTGGATTGTGTCTCTGTTGTGCTATGATTTGTGCGATATGATTTGTCACTGTTGATAACTGTGACAGGCAGTAGTTTAGCAGTCTGGTTTCCATAGCCTCACAAAACAAGCACGGTAGATGTACTTATCAATGCAATTTTCCTTTAAGAAAAAAAACAACCACAAGAAAAACAACATCCCCAGAACAAAAGGCAAAAGCAAACAACAAACAAACCAACCCCACGAAAACCCCCTCACAAACAAACAAACAAACTAGCCACAAAACAAAACAATAACAAATGTTGGGAGCAGGGATTGCATTTTTCTGATGTTACACACTTCTGTGTTTAGATTTATAAACAATTACAGTAGCAGGAATGAAAATGCTTTTCTGATTTCAGCAGTAAAATTGTTCTTTCTGTTTAATGAATAATTGCAAACTACTGAGTAGGGCTGTGGAGAAATTAAGGACTTTGTCAATCTGAATTGTCCTTTCTCTCCCATCACAAGGATGTTTCAGTCTGAAAGAAATTTTAAGTTCAAAATCTACAATGGCTGAGACTGTTATGAATTACCATGCTATTTGCAACCAGGCAACAACCGTAGTAACTTCCATTCTCTAGTGTTTCTTCTTGAATCTAAACAAGAGATTTTTCTTTTAAACTCCTATGTTCACAAACACTGGGATCAATATATTGTTTTTCTAATTTTTTTTCAAGTTAAATACCCTATAGATCATTTGTGTCTGTCACAAGGATGTTTACTAAGTTTGAGAAGCTTAAAATAGGCCAGTGAATTCACTTCAGCTGGACAGAAGCCAACCTGCCTTCCTGAAGCCTGAGTGACTACTAGGGAAATGTCTTGGCATTTCTGGCCTTACCTCAACCATACTTTCAAGGAATGTGATTTATAGGATGTGTTGAGCCAGAAGCCTCAGAGAAAGTAGTAATACTTATAGTAGATATTCTATTATGCTAATTGGGATGAATTAAGTTCAAAAAAACTGGGATTGTAAAAAAACATGGATTGAAATCATTACTAGATGATGGCCTTTTCGGTGTAGCTTGTACTATTTATACCATATTCAGTTAGAAAGAAGTGTGTGTGTGTGTGTATGTGTATACTTTATATCTCTATATAGGTATATAAATATCCTTTTGGGGTCTGTAGTGTTAGAAATGTACATGTCAGTGAGCTGGTAGCACCTGTTCTTTTGACCTGAACACCATAGGAGACTAATAATGATACCAGTGTTGCTATGCTGCAGAGGGGTGTTTCACTGCTAGAGATGTTGCTGTCTTGTGTCACAAGGACACTATCACAGTAGAAAATAGAGTACCCTTGGCTAAAGATTTGCTGATTAGGAATGCAGGCATATGCTAGTAAAATCTGCACGAGGCATTTATGGTTTTATCGGTATAAAAATGCTTGCATGATTGTTCTCTCTGTTACTAGGTTAAGCTTCATCAAACTTGTGTTGATATGCCTGAATATGTACCCTCTAGTTCAAGTGAACCTATATTTAACCCTATCAGAGCTTTGAAGGAAGAAACAAACACTTCTTTGTTAGCTGAGACTTCTGTAGCTTCTCCTGGCAGGTATGTGTGTGAAGTGTCCCATATGACATTTCAGACACTTAATCCTTAGAAATGTTGAAAGCTCAATGCTGATATCATAGTATGGTATATAGTGTTTACTAGACCAGACATTTTTTTACTGAATGGCAGAGATGCTTATGTTATATTAACATATGGCCTGGATAGAGTTCAGAGCTATGTGTGTGTGATTACAACAGACACGTGGTCTTTTTGATCTGTTATCTGCATATTAAGCTGAAATATTTTCTGATTGTATAGGCAATGATTATTTATGTGAATATGAAGTATGAATGGAGAACATAAGTTGTACTTGGTATACCTGTGTTTCTTAATACTTTGTTCTTTTTAATTTAAGGTTGCCTTTGCCTCCTGGAGCATTTTCAGGTCTTTGGGAAAATCAGGAAACATTCCAGAGGTTATATTTCAAAAAATATCCAGTAAGAATTCTGAAATGAATTGTATAAACTTTTGGTAATCTTGCAGAACTGAATTATAGTAAGTTTAAACAGGATAGCAGTCAAAATGATTGTACCTTATTTTAATGGGAGAACTTTTTTTTATCCATACTTTAAGCTTTTGGCAACACTGTGGATGTTTTTTTGGTTTTGTTGGTTCTGGTTTTTATTTTTGTTTTTGTTTGGTTTTTTTAAGCTCTGAAACAGAATTAGTAAATGCAAGCTTCTGAATGTAAAAGTTGTTTTATGTCATTCGATTTAATAAAAGATATAAGCCTCACAACCTTAGACTAGCATAGCTTCAAATATACTGCTGCTGTTGACATGCAGACCAGAAATATGCAGTTGCCCATTGTGCACCTAAATACACGGAAGGCTCCTTACTGCATTAGTTTCCTGGTCATATTCACTGTCCAGGGACTGGCTTCCTCCTTTCCTATGTGAATGTTCAAAACGGAAGGTTTGCTTCAATAAAAGTAAGTGAGTGAATTAATCAGACAAATTATTTTTTTGTGTACACTTGCATCGTGATGAGGATGTATGTTTGTATTCAGCAAACAAGAATATCATTAGGAGCAATTTGACAACTATCATTATATTGTATCAGTTCCATCTTCCTTTTGTAGATTCAGGCAACATCCTTCTCCAAGCTGTCAGGGATCAATGTAAGCAAAGTTGGAAAAAATCCGTATTTATATAATGTCCTCTGTTCCTTTATCATAGACTACAAAACCGTTCTGGAAGGGAAGGTGCACAGTATACTCTGACAGAAGAATAGTGAAAAATATTACAGAATTAGATCTTTTGGGCACCAAAACCATACTTAATTTGAAACAATAAGTTTTGTGTGTTGTTTTCATAGGTAATTAATGGATGCTCCTAGTACTAATTCTGAGTTTATTTTTGGTTGTGTTGTGTTTAGGGATATTATGATACTATGGATGCAGGTTATATGGATGAAGATGGCTATTTGTACGTCCTGTCTCGAGCTGATGATGTGATCAATGTTGCCGGACACAGGATTTCAGCAGGTGCAATTGAAGAGGTTAGTATTGCCTGACAGTAAAATAGAAGAATGAAAGATAAATAAAGTAATCTGAGATTGAAAATCTCACTAAACCCTTTTGATTTCATTTCTGTTGGTACTTTTAAGCAAAACATTAATTGTTTTATTTCCTTCCTGTTATGGTGCTTTCCAGAACCATAATAAATTTAGTCAACAGTGAGCAGTTTGTACCATGGGATTGATAAAACAGGTATGATTTGACATTTGACGGTAGAGTTAAGGGTCAATATGTAGCATGGGATGCATCCCTGTAAGTTCTGATGACATATTTATTTGGGAACACATTAAGATAATGTAGGGTCAATGTGCCAATTGGTTTTACCACCTACTTAGGAGGAGAAACTTTTATTCCTAAAATACCATTTTAATTGTGTTTCTTTAAAGTGCTTGGTGCTGGCTGACTTCAAATAGACTCACATTCAGTGTTTTTTCTTGATTTGAAGGGTCTCCACAGTTTCTTGACAGCTTTTTTTCTCTTATTGCATGAGCAGTGCTAAATGGTAATGAAAATTTCTGTAAGAAAGCCACAACCCTGCTGTTAAATTGAAAGTCATTAATATAATACACATGCAACTCAAAAAGTTGAAAATAATGCAGTTTATAATAGTGTCTCAGTTTCATGTCATTGTTCCCTCACTTCTCTGGAACCACTGCGATTGACTGCCAGTTACAGTTTTCCCTGATTACATATCAAATGCTTATTCAGGGAGTATAGGAAAAGGTGTGCTGGACATGTACAAGGGAAAAATAAGTGATCAAATTCATGCAAACGCAGGCAATCCTTTGAAGACTGGTCAGCCAGGGAGCTGAACCAGCCGCTGCCCTGACTCAGGACTATGGAGACCTAAAGGTGGCTTTCAGGCTGATTAAACCTCTTTCCATTTGAAGTAATTTTTTGTGCGTTGCTCTACTAAATTGCAGCAGGGAGTCTCATTCCACCCCTTACTGCTCTTACTGCCCACCTGCTCTACTGCTCAGGGGCTGAGCTAAGCATTGTTTCTTCACTTCAGGCTGAATGCGGAACTCGCATACAAATGATGAATTGAATCACCTCCTCAGTTATATTACCTTTGTGTCCTTCATCCCAGGTTCAGTGTCTCTATTTTCCTCCCTGCTACTTAGGTCTTTCCCTAGAAAGAAAAAGTGTTTCATCACTATAAAATTCTGTAAGTTTTTCTGTTCCCCTTTTGAATAAAGCTGAAAAAATGTTATTAATGCATGCACAGCAAATTGCTAGTTAAATGGGAAAGCATTAATAAGACCACAATTTGCCCTTCAGTAAGATCTGTAAATACAGAATTAGAGGTTAATTGAATTTCCATCTAATGAAGTGACAGTCACCTTGTTGAACAAGTGTATTATCTGCATTTACATTATAGCTGCATTACAAGCTTAAAAAGTTTTTCTATAGTACTTTGGCCAAGAATTTCAGCTTTATTGTGTTTCAAATAGTTTATCTATCCAAGTTATCTATTATTATTATTGGAGCTGTGCAGTAGGTGTTACTGTCGATATGGCTTGTGCACATCCCATTTAATTCCTGTGAAAAATACACAGTTTAAGAAACCTGTGCGTATATGGTCATGTTTTTGTACTTTGACAGAACATGCCTCTACTTCTGAGCTACATATTTCCCATTTGCTTTTTTGTAGTATGGGACTTTTCTAGGATCATAGTTTGTGAAATAAGTATAGCTTCTGTCAGAAATAGTATGTGAGAAATACTGTGCAGGTTTATTTACCTACTTGATGTGTGTGACCATGGCACAGAGAGACAGTTTCTCTTGCTTATTTTGACTACAAATCATCTGTTTTGAGGATGGGTTATGGGAAATGCTTTGAATTGTTCCTGCCACCATCAGTTTTACAACCAGGTCACACAAGAGCATCCCTTCTGTTAATTGAAGCATCACTGATTCAACTTTCTGTTCCTTCAAGATTTTTTCTCCTGCCACCTGTGTACCTTTCCTGTAGTCTTCCTCATGCTCCTGCCCTTGTATAAGTAACCAATGCAACACTTAAAAAACACCTTTATTCTTGAAACTTCTTTCAGTTCGTCTCCCTTTCAGTCATCCCACTGCCTTTGATTTTAACAACATGGTATGTGAAGATCTGTTTTTTAGCAAACATGTCATCTTTGCATGCACAGATAAACTAAAATGCACAGTCACATTATGAGGCCACAGTGTGGCCTTTGTGTAAGGTCATTTTAGGTCCTCTTTGTGGTTGAGTACAGAGGACATGTTGAAAGCACTGTTGACAGCAAGGTACCCCACAGACACAGGTATTTTCACGAAAAGAGCCAATTACTGTGGAGAAGGTTTCATGACTGCTGTTACTTAGTTACCTTAAGTCCAACTTTGTCCCAGACTTAGTGACACACATCTCAGTATGTACTGAGACATCTTGGTGACATTTTCCTAGAAGTGAGATCCTCAGCTGGCTAATTGGAAAGAAAAGAGAATCTCTCACTTTTTTTGCTTAAAAGATAATTTAAGATAGTAGTGCCTCTGTCCATCACTTGTATAGTTGCATAAATGTGTAGTAGAAAGGAGGCAATTCTGGATTAATTCCCTTTTTTTTTTCAATCTAAGAAGAACAAGATTTAATGTTTCCAAGAGAGTGAATGGAACTAGACTGGCTGCAAGCTGAGATTAGGCCTGTATTTGCCTTTGGATGAAACACTCTGCTTTTCTGCAGTGAAGAATTAAAAAAATAGGAGTCAGAACAAACCACTATGACTTTATAGCCCTGTAGTTGGAGTGTTTCTATGGTTTTGGTCCTTAGTCCCCTTAACTCCATGTTATTTATAATGTTAGACTACTGTTACTTGTTCCAGCAAAGATCTCACTAACAAAAACAAAGATGTGATACTCTCCCAAAGCTGTAAGTCACCTTTACATTGTTCTATATTTGTATTTTGTATCACCATACTTATTATTTATGTTTGTTTGAAAACTACATGTAAGTGTGTATGAAAGTATACGCACATGCATCTGCACCATGTGTAATTGGAATCCTGGGGTCTACTAAGTACTTTTTGCTGTCAAAATGTAAGAAATATGTCTACATTTTCCATCCATGCCTATGGATTTTTCTCACTGAAATGTTCAGTTATTATTAGTTCTGTTCGGTTTTGTTCTCTGTCCCTCAGTGTATTCTCTTCCATCATGCTGTGGCTGACTGTGCTGTTGTGGGCCAGGAGGATCCTTTAAAAGGACATGTTCCTTTTGCATTGTGTGTACTGAGAGAAGGTGAGAGCTCACTGATACTGATGTTACTTAGACTTGCAAAAGTCCCAGAAAAGCTAAAGGACATGACAAGAAGTTCTTCTTTATACCCTAGGTATAAAGACAGAAGAGGAAAAGATTTTGGAAGAGATTGTTGAGCGAGTTCGAACTAACATAGGTCCAGTAGCAGCTTTGCAGAAGGGGGTGTTTGTGAAACAGCTGCCAAAAACGCGCTCTGGCAAGATCCCGCGTTCAGCTCTTTCTGCACTTGTCAGTGGAAAGCCGTATAAGGTAAGCTGGAGATGTATACTTTAATGAATTAGGCACACATGCACATCCAAAGACAAAACAGCATAGTTTCTACTCTCTAGACCATTCTGCAAGTGGTCCGTGATTTCAGGTACCACATTGTATATTTTATTTCTACTGTAGCTTCCCCAAAATGTTTTCATGTTCCAAAGCTTTCCAGGTACTTTTTTCTTGATTGCTTTTGAGAGCTAGAGTTAGGAGATTCTCCGAATTAAATTCTGGTCTACTATCACATGCTTCTGTGTATTCTTCCTTTTCAGATAACACCGACCATTGAAGATGCTAGCATGTTTAAACACATTGAAGAAGTGCTAAAGAAAAAGTAAATGGGATAATGGTTGGTAAGAAATGGGTCCGTTAATGAAGTATACAAAGAGACTTTTTGTTAGGAACCACCACATTATAAAAATTCCTAATGACGTGGAACTGATTTTTTACTTTAGAAATATTACTGTGTTCTTTACCATATTGTCACAGCCAATGAAGCAGACTAAAGTCTCTGCATGTTGTCATTATATGCTGGATATTAAGACTGCTAAAAATTGCAAATACAATTCAGGTATTTCTATAGCATTAACATTGCAGTCTGTTGTTGTATAAAGTGACCAGTAACTTGAGTTTGTCTAAAATAGATTACAAAAGGTAAGTCACGAACTGAGGACAGTAATAAATAGGAATTCTGATGTGAAATTATTGCAGACATAAATTGTCCTTACTTGTAAATTATGCGCCTTTATGGGCCTTTGAATTCTGTGATCTTTAAGTTCCCTTCCAACTCAAACTATTCTATGATTGTGTCTTTGAGATTTTTATAAATTTTAAAATTGAGTTTTCTTTATTGCATTGATAATTTTTTTCCTAAGTCTTTTTGCTGTAAATTAGATTTCTATAAATTTTTACTCAATAACTTTTTGAAGTGTGTTTTTATAGAATGATAGGTAATTTCTGGCTTTTGAATCTGTGAAAATCTGGATTTGTCCATAGCAATATTCAGTAAAATCCATGTATTCTAAATAAAGGCAAGCATTTATCCTTTGCATTTTCTCATAATTTTGTTGTTGTGGTTTGTACCACTTATAAGGGTAACCAGAATGTGCTTTTGCTGACATAATTAGATGTTTCGAGATCACTGAGATATGTATAGCCAAGAAATTTAGCAAATACAGATACTAGGCAGCCCATTCTTGACTTTATTGGCCATTTCAAAATCCAGGGTTCTCAGCAAGCCCAGGGGCTGGAGGATACTCTCTCTACATGCATTACTTCTCAAGCTGCAGGTTTTAATTGAAAAATAAATGTAAAAATACGTGAAAAAAATATACATTCACAGAAAAGCTTAAAAGCAGCAAAGTGACTGAAACTTGGCAATGCTTTCCAGAGGAAAAAACAGTCAGCAATATGGAAATTCAGATGATGTTGGTATAAAAGAGAGGTTCCATACTTAGGCCAAGGTAAGGCAGAAATTAAGTCTAGACATATTTTCCTATGGCAGTGTCCTCAGAAGAGTCCAGAAATAGGTTAACTTCTTTTGGGTAGAGGTAAGGATGTTAACTGATAAATCAGCAGGCTGAGGTAGGAGCTAAAAGGTGATAGATAGGTGCTAATTAATATGAGCCATACCCAGTGTTGCCTCATGCCTATGACTTTTTTGTAGCGTCAATGTGCTCTATCAGTTACATAGGAAATTAAAACAGTTTCTGGGTGTTTTCTCACTGGGGACTGCATGCAACTGTGTTGAGCCAGGTCATACAGTTGTATAATAAACCAGCCAAGTCTGAGTCTGTGCTGTACTTGTTTTTTGCCAGATTATCAGCTATCTGATTTAGTTGAAAATCCCAGGCTGAACAGGGAGTGGAAGCATATAAAGACTAAGTCCTAATGATGCTTCATGGTAGATATGCTAACTATACAGATTAGTGATTTATATGTGGAGTAATTTTGTTTCTCAGAGATGTCCTGAAGACTTTCTTGAAATACCGCTTATATAAGTTGCAGTTAGTAGAAGGTAGTGCTTTTTTTCCAGATGTGCCAGGGGTTTAATAGAAGGCCTATGCCAGATAATGGAGCGTCTTGCAGAAACTGCTGAGTATTTTTCAGTTTCACCATTCTACAATTTAGCAACGTATGCTGAGCCAGGGCAAGGGAGAGATCTTGGGAGTTGTCACTGATGGGGTGGGTTTTTTGTGTGTGTGTTTTTGTTTTGTTTGGTTTTGTTTTAAAAGTGGTGAGAAACCACAAGGGTCTTCTCAGAGAAAACTGAGGCACATTCATGAGGTATGTGGCCATTACGATTTTTTGCACAATGAAAGCTGAGATGTTAAGTTATGAATGTTTGCTGTAATTATCCTAGCTTCAGCATCAAGTTATAATTGTAGAAGCAGGGAAGCAGAGCTAATCAGTGAGAACACAAGTCATCTAGTAAGAATGCTGCAAGAGGATGTGGAAGAGAATTAATTTCCTAGATCATTTATAGTTTTCCCAATGACATCTCATGTTCCCATATTAGTTTCTCCATTTGTAAGGAGAGGTAAGCTGTTTTCTATTTTGGGGCTCTTTTGTTAAGGAAGAAAGACTTAATATCAGACTAAAAACCAACAGCAAACAAACCACAACATTAAGTAACTGAGATTTAAGCACTTACCTTTCTGGAGGGCTATTTGCTCATATTAATACTGACAAGAAACAGTTGTCTATCCTCTGAACTGCTTGTGAAGAGCTTGAATAGTTAACATTCTTAAAGTGTGTCCAGGAGAAAAATAGTTGTAATAACCTGTTTTGGTAGGAATCATTTAAGATCAAGACTGGGGCAGAAGAGAAGGTCAGAGTGGCCAGGGGTACTCACTCTGCTACCGATCTGGTAATGTGGAGGGTTCCAGGAATGCCAAATATATCATTCATCAACTTTCAGGGAATCAGACAAAGAAAGCCACCTTACTGCAGCAGTACAGTATGGAAAAACAGTTGTTTCATGGGCATTCCTTTTGTTTTCCAGAGGAGCCTTTTGCTGAGGAACTGCGATTGCAGAGAATGCTTTGTTTACAGCTTTACCTTTGTGCCAAGCTAAAGAAAGGGAGCAGGAATAGTCATTCTTATGCATGGCTTTGGTGCTGCCCAGCAACCTGGTATGCCATCAAGGATGAGCAGCCCTTTCAACAAGTGGTAGGAGAGCACGGATTTTGTTAATTTTGGTTTTAGAGAGAAGCAGCTTGTGGGTAGATTTTAATGGTCAGGGAGTTACTGAAACTTGGCTGGGAGAGGTTGATGTAGTAATTATTCCCAGTGTACTGAAAGTGTTGCAGCCAACTAGACAACATTTTGCACATAGCCACAATTTTTAGCTATTGAGTGTACAGCTCCAGCTTATATGGAGGAGACAGGGATGCACTAAAGGATTTTTTTATCTTAGCCTGAGATCAAAACTGAAGTCACAAAAATGCTCTTTTTAAAATATACTTTTAATTTTTCTGCTCTTTTTTCATGACAACTGTGAAATAATTTGGGGGGACTGTACATCTGGGGCAGGATAACTGCAGCTGTGTTTGCATGATCTTGCTCATTGTTTTTCCCAACACACTTCATTCCTCTGTGCCCCTTGAAATTTCAGTGTGGACTGTGTGAATAATGTGGGCTGCAAAAGAAATTCTTAAAATGGGAGCTGGTGTTTACAAGGGGAGGTATATTCAAATGGTACTGCAACCACTGAAAATGGAATTGCTTTACTTTTTGAACTTCTGGATTGAAATAATCTAAAAGGAGGTTGAGAGAGGAAAAGAAGGACCACCAGGAGTGATGCTGGTTAAACCTGAAGAACTGTATGTAAGAGAGCCATGTCTTTATACTGTTGTGTCTTGAGTCATCATATCTCACCCATTAGCAAGTTCAGTGCTCCCTCTCGTGGCAGATTCTCACCTGTAGGTCCATCATAACTTGTACATGTTAGTGGCAAAATGTGCTTATGCTTAGCTATGAGAAGTATCTGGCATCCAAACTATTTTAATGCTACTACGTACCAAGCTTAATAGACTTTAAACACAAATAGCACTGAATTCTTTTTTTTATTGACATTGGGGGAGCAAAATCTTTCACCATCTGATTGACTGAAGTTTGCCAAATGAAAATAGACAAAACAAATGTTTATGTACGTGCAAACATTGCAGATCAAACTGCTAAAAGAAATAACTAAAAGACAGGTCTTGAGCTAAGATCAAGCAGCAGAAAAATAGCAAATAGGTAAATGACTATTAAGTAGGTCTTACTTTGAAACTTCCCATTTAAACAAAGAATAAACGACAATAACACCACCAAATAAAGCCACAGCAGGTAATAGTTGCTCTTCTAAACTTTTATACACTATATATTAATCACTCTGTCTTTCAGTTATTTCCTCTGATAAAACTGACTTCTGTGAAGTCTCAGCAAGGCCATCTTGGCTAAAAGCACAACATTAGACAGGAGCCTGTCTAATGCCCTGTTATAATGAAGAAATGGTAGGGTTTGGCTTCTCGTTTCTTTCTTTTTCTTTGTTGAATATATCTGGAAGTGAGAATCTGATTCTATGCAAATATTAAATTTAATTTTCCAATGCTGGCTGGTGTTTGAAGATCCTGGAATAAAATGGTGGCTCCTGGTAAGGCAAAATTCTTCTTGGTCCGCAGGTAACATAGAAGAAAGTTTTTGAATTTTGTATAAATCATGTTTTACTAAATTGCCTTTTTTTGTCGGGTTTTGGGTTTTTTTTGTTAGTTTGCATTTGTTTTGTTGGTTTTTTTTTTTTTGTAAACGGTTCTTCCGGGTTTATTTGTTAGTTTTTAAGATGTGAGCCTCTTAAAATTAATGATTCTTCTCTATAGAGATCTAACATTTCCATTTTGTTTTAGAGGTCCATTTTGGCTCCAGTTCCAGGTTGCGTTATTCTATTATACATCATCAGAGGCAGGTGTTCACTTTTAAATATTGACAGATTTTCTCAGTAGGAACATGTTGAAGCTTCTAACTCTGCTAAACATATTCATTTGAGTGTTACAATCCAAAAACTGTAAAAATGGTGGAATGGAAAGATACAAACAGTATTATTGACACTGTATTGTCAAGTGTTTGCACTGAGACCCCATGTACCATAGATTTTATTTTTAAAAAATCATATTTATATCCATTTACATAAGACTTACACATTTTAAAAGAAATACATACACAGTAAATACGTAAATGTCTTAGTATTTTACAATAAAACAAATGGAACAATGTAAAAATGAGTGGCTTCATTTGATAAAAGCTTTGGATGTGCACTACTGCCAAACTTCTGATGACAGAGATGCTGAGAGGAAACGGGGAGGTTGTTTTGTTTTATTTTTGTAGTAATTCTTGTTTTAAACTAATCAATACATGAAAGGAATATCATATCTTTTAATAAAACTTATGTGTTCTCTTCCCTATTACCCTGTTCTTGCAGAGAGTTTTAATGCTCTTTTTCCTAAGTAGTGGTAGTGCACTTCAGGTAAAGTAGAAGTAAGAGATGACATCTAAGGGAAGAAAATAAACAAATGTTAATTAGTGAGATTCTTTGATTCCAATTTAGTCTAGGATGCAGTAACAGCAGAAAATATTATAGCACTAAGCTTATTGCATGTTTTAGTAAAACATGGATTTTGAGTATCTAAGGGAGACATGCATTTGTTGTTTAATTTTAGATCTGTAGCATAAACCTATTAATAATGCATTTTAATCTTTTACTAATGTATACTGATTTTTGTCCTAGATCAAACAGATGCCTGCTTATGTTCATTTGCCAGTTGTTTTCTTGTTTTGGTACAGCAGTGGATCTGGAGAGCTTTGCCTGTTTGGTACAAGATGGAACACATTTTAAGTGTATAGACTTTGTTGATGTACTCTTGTGCTTCTCCTTGTTCACTGCAGCTTGACAACATTTACCTTTTTCACCCTGACTACTTCTTTGCTATGGACCAGCTGTTTCCAGATTATCATTCTCATCTTTTTGGAACTCTTCTTTGTCTTTACAAATCCTCTTTGGAACCCCTCATTGATAAAGTACATTGTTGATTTTGCCAAATCCCCTTTGACATTTCTTCATAATAAAAATGAAGCTACCGTGTTCCATTGCCTCAGCCTATGGCAGTGAAGCTCTTCTGGCTGAGCCTTCTGACTTGGTGGTGACAAGTATTTTGGTAGAGAAAAGTGTTAGGAAAGCTTAGACTGTGTGACTGCAAAATCCACTGGCTGTGTAATGGCATTGCAGATGTTCAGCTGGGTAAAATGAGGCCACCAAGCAGAAAGCTTGACCTGTCCAATGTGCTTTATGGTAAACTTCTTTTCATGATAAAATGGCCAGGCACCAGGAGTGCTACATTTTGTTAAATTTCCGATTGGAGAGTGCACTCAAACTGGGCTGCATGGAATATGTTCATGTGACTGTTCTGAGAATATCAGTGCATGGTTTCTGGCAGCTTGTCATGGTGGTTTCATCAAATGTTTGCAGAAAATATCTGAATGCAACTTGAAAACATATGAACTGAACCCAGCTGTTGTGAAGAAACACCGTAAGACACTGTAAGGTTGTACCCAGTTGGTGTTGTTGGCATATACTGTTTTGAAATAAGAGGCTTTGACATTAGCTGTAGGAAAGGCAAATGAAAAGCAGAATGAAAGATCTGCAGCCTGCTGTGATCACAGGTCATCTCATTTGTTCCATGTGCAACCTGTTCACAGCTCTCTATTCAGTCCGCTTTTTATATGCATATTCCCCTTTACTGTATTAAAAATTGTGCTAGATTGTATAGTGTGATAGCTCATCCAGCTATCCATCCCCTCTGCCACCTAGTTAGAATCAGTTCCTGATTCCATGCGTGCAGGTAGTTAAGTCACCAGGGTGGCACAACTATTGATGTGAGACAACTAGGCAAGGTGTTAAAAGCTTGGGTCCCAGTTTTCCCTGGATCTGGAAAATTTCATGAGGCATGTTGCAATAAATAATCTTTTCTTTCGTCCAAGTATCAATCAGTTCCTTCCATGAAGAAACTGTTAGGAACTGTGATCAGAAAATTCAGAAAACTTCGCTTGCTCTTCAACCAACTTCAGATACCCCATAGGAGTGGTTTTTGTTTATGCCTTCATCCCTGAGATTCAGGTAATTTTTTTAGCTTTTCAAGTCTGATATCTTAATGAAGGAAATTTTCTCTCTGCATATTTTTGATGTCATTCACTGAAAGCCAAAAATACTTTTAACTTGCTCTGGTTTCTAACCTGCATTGATGTTTTGAAACTGCACTTATGAAGAGTGCATCTAGTTCACACCATCTTGTTCCTTCACTAAAGGAATATACAGTAAGCGAAAAGAAATATTAATTAAGTATATTAATGTCAGTCATTCGCATGTATTAGCTTTTACATTTATATGTAAATCTGATGCTTACAGAGCTCTCAAGCATTTAAGATTAGATTGTAATTAGCAGAACAGTGGGCAAGTACCAATGTAAGTATCAGATACTTGAAACACGACTAATACTCCTATAGAAATCGAAGTTAACTTGTATAGCTTGTATAACATTGTACAAACAGCTTTTTGCTCAAAATACGTAACTCCCACATAGTGCAAGAAAAGTTTGCTAATTTACTTCTGCTTGTGGATTACTATGTTTTAGACAATTTTTGAATAGAGTGGGAATAAACAGTTCTGATAGTCCTACACTAAGTTTTGTTAACCTACCAATTTTAATTTTCTGCCCTTGTGGCACTCTTCAAACCTATTGGAAAACATCACCTTATGTGCCTGGCTCATCACTGTTGGCCTAATAGATAGCTTGGTGTTTGAACTTAATTTCTTGGTCGTAAGTTATTGCTTTCAACATTGCAATTCTGAAGCATATAGGATAAAAGATCCACATCTCTGCTCTCAGTTTCTATCCCCACTGAACCCAGTGAGAGTACTGTCATTGACTTTACTAACACCAAGCTCTAATTTATATATATATATATATACACATTAAAAGGTTTATATCGTTTATGTGCTTCACCTCCATTTGTACCTATTTTAGGCAAAAAGGAACAAAAATCTCCTTTGCTTATTTTTCAGTGGTGGCATGAAAAGTTCCCTTTGCAAGAGTATAAAATCTTAATCTAGTATAAGCCTCCTGAAGATCTATGAAGTAAGGCTCATGTCCTCAGTAGGATCCTGAGCAATCCATGTTTTCCACTGATAGTATCTGCACTAAGCACTTTTTGAACCTGCCCAGAATTAGTAAAATCTCAGTGGCCTCGATCCTCTCCCAGTCTTGGGAATCTAAAACCAATTACTCTCTCACAGGCCCTGGAATGTCTTGCCTATAATATGTAACAGCTATTCAAGCACATTCAATGCCTGGTGAAGTTTTGGTGCTATCCAGATATTCTTTGCAGCTCCCCTAGAATCCTCTGAGTAACTAAATGGAACAACAAACTTTTACTGAGAAAATATTAGCATGAAATGGTGCTGTATTGATGAAAGCGCTCATCATGTTAGGATTTATTACAAAACTTGTGATGTAGCAGAAAACAGTGTATTTCTATAGAACCTGGAAGAGTGAATCTGAGAGATTCATAGCCATACTGGAAAGAGAAGTGGTGAGAAATGAATTCCAGTACTAAATTTGATTCAGAGTTGCATCCAGCTCAGAATATCCTTTCTTTTTCACTGGTGAGTTCTGAATGATTTGAGAAATAAGAGAATCTCTGCAATAGATAAGTTCAGAAGATTTTCTGTAAAGGGGAAGTTTTGTTCCAGATTGATGCAGGTATCTCATGTTCTAAATTTAGACATATTTCTCACTGAAAAAGGTAAATCTCTTCTGCTTTACTAGGTTTTCCCCATTCCTCTTCCTAGCTCCTGGTATAATGCCATCAAGTACTCATTAAGTATATTCTGTACCTGTGCCTATTGCTGTCTCCCCAGCTTTAAGTTTGAAAGTGTACAGAATACAGTGCAGTTGGTGAGCTACCAACTGAACAGAGTTGTCTGAAAACTTCTGTCTCTTTTGCTAAAGTGGTTTCAGCAGAAAGGACCTGGTGTTTGAGATGGGAAAAAGAACAGTGTGGTGTCTCCTGGACTGAGCTTGAGGCTGTTGTCATGCTCTAATGATCACTCTAGTGAGCCTGAGTTAGGTCTTCTGCTCCGTGCCGGCTCTTGCTTGAATAATGCCAAGGAATATTTGGTGTAGGGTACAGTTATAAAGAGCTTTCATGACAGCCTCTTACGAATACTCACAATAATTCAGTGCTGGCTTCTTTGCTAGGCCTTGTCAGCATGAGTATGTGCGAACTGTTGAGCTGTCTAACCTCTGCAGTCGTGATGAAGCAACTGCAAATTGCAAAAAAGAAACAAACCAGAACCTCTTTAGAATCATGAAGAAAATAAACCAGTCTGTTTCCCACTGGAAGGGTGGCTATTAAATTGCTCTCTGGATTCCTGTGACATTATCTGGGCATAGTCGACTTCAGATCTCAAGTGTTTACACTCATGTCTGGTGTGCTGTTGAAGTCTGTCATAAATGAATACAGTTTAAAACTCAGTTTTGTCCTTCTTTTGTTGAAAGTGCTAATACTGTACCTATTATGCTGTTAAAATACTATAGTGTTCCTACCACTGGGAGATAGGAAGACAAATCCTGGATGAAGATGTAGGTCTTCAAAGCTACCTATGTTCAAGTCTACTGTCTGGAAGACTTCAAGTAAATCACTAAATCTCCCTTGTGCTTTAGTTCTCCATCTATAAAATGAGAATAATATGTTCTACATCATAGCATGGCTAGAAAATGAAATCCATGAATGTTTGTAAGGCTCTTAGCTCCTACAGTAATGTAGGCCACGGAAATGCCTAGGGAGCTAGTACCTTTATTTATACATGGAATTTGCCTTGGGATGGGCTCTTGTCTTACAGCTTCATTGTTGCTGAAAATTGCAGGATTAAAAGCAAAGCGTGCAGATGAGCAGCGGAGCCAATGAAATTCAGTGATGCAATCATTTAATTATTCCATCTATAACTGCAACTATAAAGTATTGTTTTTAAAAGTGAGAAACGTTAATGGAATTTAATTGTTTTAATGGAATTTAGATGGCAATACTGTCATACCAAGTTTGTTCAAGAGTTACAGAAGGTAACCACTACAAGCAGGATATTAAATTACTTTGAGACAAGTCTATTCCTAGACCTGAATTCTCTCATGAGGAAATAAGCAGTGGTATTTGGAAGAGGCCAGTCTGTGTATTTGTACTTCTCAGAACTTCAAGCAGGTATACATGGCTTTAGCATCCATATACCAAAGGGAATAGCTGCAGCAGGATTTGTCCTTTCTCCCTGCCCTCTTACAATGACTTTTAAGTTTTAAATATTTTTTCAGTTATGATTTGTTTGTTACTTTTCCAATCACTGCTGAGTTAGTGTAACTAATTCTTAGCGGCTTGAGTTATTTGATGGTCAAGGATGAGATAGTTAGTTGGAACGTAAATTAGGAAAATAAAGGTGATAGCCCTTTCTAAGTTCATTCTCTAAAATACATTCTACCTGCTAGAAAGGCTCATGAACTGAAAAATTTGCTTAGCTACTGTATGCAATCTTAGATAAAAGTTAGCAAATTAATTCCCCTCTTTGTGAATGTTTCCTTTCCAGATCTAGGATTGCTAGATGTCCACCCACACTTTTTTTTTTTTTCTTAAACACTGAGAGTCTGAAGCTAACCTGAAAAGATCATCAGTATGCCAAGTCAGTGCTTTTCCATTCCCTAATTCAGCTCTCACAGATTATTCATCCTATAGTTATATGAACACAGCCATTCTGGTGTGCGACAGACATGCAACAGAAGTCAATTCAGCAATCAGATTAAGTCCCTTGCTTTTCAACAGTTAAGTGCATGAATGACTGCATACCGTCAGTTGTCATCTTCCGTGACTGCCCTGATGTTGTGGTTAGTCTGAACCCAGCTGGGAGTGTTTCCGAGGAGCCAGGCATCATGCTGATCCCATGAACCTCGCGTGGAGGAAACTGTCGTCGCCAGGAGGGGCCACGTCTGAAGTTCTTGTCATCACTCTGTTAACACAGAGTTGTATTTGGTAAAGCAAAATCATAGAATCATAGAATAGTTAGGGCTGGAAGGACCATCTAGTTCCAAGCCCCCTGCCATGAGCAGGGACACCTCACACTAAACCATATCACTCAGGGCTCTGTTCAACCTGGCCTTGAACACCACCAGGGATGAAGCATTCACAGTTGCCCTGGGCAACCCATTCCAGTGCCTCACCACCCTTACAGTAAAGAACTTCTTCCTTATACCCAATATAAACTTCCCCTGTTTAAGTTTTAACCCTTTGATTCCTTGTCCTGCTGTGTGCTGCCTTTCCCCACTGTCAAATGTATTCCACAACTACCCTGCTCTGTTGCACTGCATCCAGTAACTGCAGTGCAATTGAGACATTCCTGTAAAGGTAAACACTTTAGAAAAGTTAAATGCTAGGGTGAAAAGCTCTTCATAAATCTCTGGCTCAATATTGTAGATGGTTTTTGTATCACCTAAAGTAGAACCTCCTTAAAAAATCAGATATCTACCAGATACTGTTACAGAAAGTGCATGGGTTTGTCACTGCATTAGGAGGGTTATGTAAAGTGTTAATAAAGAATTAAACACTTATGTGCATGCACAGAATTCATAGGCGTCTTAGGTCCTTAAAGTTGTATTCCTTCTTATGTGCAGAAGTCAAAGACTTGATTTTTTTTTTTTTTTTTTTGCACTGGACTCTTATCTAAAGATGAATATTTTCCATAGGTGGATTTGAGATTCCCTACCCTAGGTAACTGCCCCAAATATAACTCTATTACATACTGATTAACTTTGAAGAACTAAAAAAAAAAACCCCACCTCAAAACAAGCTACCAAGCCCTCACTTCTATTCTGTCTTCTTTATTTTTGAACAAGTGTGTCCTAAAGAATAGATTGCACAAGCACCTTCCTCCCATCACCACTTTCTCTGGCCAGTGAAACTTCCAGTCCTTTCTGCATGTTTCCTCTAAGGAGAATGTTCATCTTAAGGTAAAAGTGCAGTGCCAAATTCAGCATCCAAAGTGATATCAATAGATAGCCATACTGAGGTTACTTTAGACACCATGACTGGCATTTCCTAATTTTTTCTTAAAGTTGTAACTGAGTCTTTTTAACAATGTGCAAAGTAAATGTCTTCATGCATTCAATTAAATTTTTATATTTTACTGTAATATGTTATAAATACTGAAAATAAAATTAATTACTTCCTCAAGTCGTCTTTCAGTTCCTAGTGCTAAAAGGTTGTTGTATTCTCTCTCAAGGATCTGACGTGCCTAGAGATACCAAAGTGAAAAATTAAAATGGTTGAATATGAATAGAAGGCAATAATATGTACAGATTAATCAGAAGTAGCGTGAGCAAACTTGCCTGGGTGTTTTGTGTTGGAATCTGTAATAATAATGCTAAACTGCTGTAATCAAAGTTTTCATCCAGTGCTATAAGTGAACCATGTACACCACTTTCTAGAATATTATTTGCATATTCTCGGAGGCCAATAGCTTGGAGCCAGCGTATGACTCGGTCATTGCTCCACACCAGCACATCTGTAAGGACATAACATCAGTTCAGTTTGCTGATACATGATAACTTCATGTTATTATACATAATTACTGCTGCATTTCTTAAATGAGGAATGCCAGCAAACTATTCATATAGAATTCATAACACCTATTCAAAACCCTGTGTCATTTTAGCTACCTGCAGGTTAAATGTTTCCAAAGGAGAAAGGTGCCTCCAAAGGGCATTTCCAGAATGCAGTTCCTCCCACCTCCTATAGCTAGCCTTGTCAATTCTTAGGCAAGGTTTTACAGTCTAACAGTGAATGGACACAGGACAAATACCTTTTCTTCAAGGCTTCACTTTAGAGTTTTGTATTAAACATTCGGAGAGTTGGGTGAGCACCTGCCATTTTATAACATGCTATAAAGCAAACGATGAGTTTAGAGTGTAAGAGACTAATGCTATTTTTATTGCAGAAGGCTGGTTGAGCTGTCAAGGTCCATGCCAGTTATAAAGCTAAGGAAAAACAAATGGGCTAGGAAACCATTTTTGAGGATTTGGCTGTTATAAAAGAAGTAGCCTACCCTGCCTGTAAGATTAAAAGAAAGATAATTATAGTGATCTTTATAATTGTGAGTGGAAAACTTAACACTGAGTTTTGTGTTAGTAAGTGATGAGGCTTTTTCCTGAATCCTTGGAAGTCCAGCTAAGGTTGCTTTTCTGTGTGCAGGCATTTACAATCGCCTGACCAAGAGCATCCCAGGCTGCGGTCAGGATCATCTGAAACACAGTGTGGCAGCCAGGGATCACTGAGACAAAATCCCACTATGGACTGTGTCAAACTGATGGATGCACGCATCCTGATGTGTGCATCAGGGTGAACGAGGTTATTGCCCATGTTGTAGCATATTGCCCATGACTGGCATTGAAGACTCACCAGAATTTGAGATGAGTACTCAATTATCCTTCAGTCTCCAGCTGTACCAACTCAGGCTCACTGACAATAGCCTTTGTGTTACTGCCTGCCATCATCTCCCTTGAGCAAATGCATGCTTTCACTGTAGCCATTTCCCCTTCCAATTTCTCTTTTTTTTTTTTTTTTTAGCTCTTTAGCTAACTGCTGTAGTCGCTAGAGTTGGAAATCAAAAAATTCACTTATGATGGAAAAAAATCCAACAACCCCAATTGTTTTTATATATATATTTGTATATGTGTATATATAAAAGGAAGTATATATGCAGAAAAATATTCTGTGAGGCTCTAGAGGGCTTTGCACAGTAAAATAACTTAAGATCAGCTGTTAAATTTAGTAACACCAGTTCTGTTAGGAACTATTATTATATACCAACCATCTCAGTGGCCACCCCTCTAAGCAACATTTTCTGTGATTCATATTTTGAAGTAAGAAATCAAAGGCAATGATTTTTGATATCAGGAGATCAGTGTTAGGGTCCTGAGTGCTCCTGTTTCCCCATGGGACCCCCAGCACCTCCCTCTAAGCTGCAGGCTACTTGGCCTTCTGCTTCTGAGACTGGAAGAGGCTAGAAAACAATAAAATCTGTTCAAAAATCCAATTTAGCAAAATGTATGAATCAAAACAGCATTTGTACTTGCAGCCCAGATTTAGCAAAGTACTTAACTGTACATAATTTAGGGAGATACTGTGTGTCTGAAGATAGGTGGACTTAGGTTAGTTTTACTTAAAGCACATGGTTAAATACTTTGCTAAAACAGCCTGACAAAGGGTTAATAGTGCCAAGCTTCAGAAGAAGAAACATTCCCAGTATTTATTCCCATGAACTATCACCTTTTATTTCATGCTGACTCATTTCTCTTCTCTTTTCCAGTTCTTTTCTATCATAATTCAACCTCTTTAAACACATGATTCCATATTGCAAGCTTGTTCTGTTATTTAAAGAGAAACATTTACAGAGTTAATAAAGATAATCTTGAAGATGGGAATATATATGTAGGATGTATTTCCTGCATTTCACATGAGATGTTTCATGGTGCCCATGTAGCAAATCTTGCAGACAGAGGGGAGAGCAAAACCAGTTAAAAATCTTCACGAACTTCAAAAATATGAAATGAATTAAACCAAAATGAATATGTTTGAAATAAATGTTCAAGAAACTCAAAACATTAAAAATGGTATTCAGGAAAGGTCAGCCTTTGTGAGCCACAAAATGTTTTCTCAAATCAGACCTTAAAGAAGTGACAAATCAGAGAGTACATTAAAAAAAATCCACTTCTTGTCACATAAACATCATTCTCCCTGAAGTCTAAATGCCTTTATTTCCATATTTCCAATTTAGTTTCCAGGTAATATCCCTAGATAACCTGAACAACTGTCAATTTGCTTGTACTCTTAACAGCTTTTATGCGCTACACACAATAGCTTTTCATTATTATGAGATCTTAGGGCTTCAAATCTTAGTCTACCACTTTTTGATACTTTAAACCACTTAATAAATTATTACTGTTTCTGTATTGTCAAGGCTTTATTTATGCATTAATAATTCCCTGCTTGTTATGAAATTTATCTGTACCAGTATCTTTAGTTCTAAGAGTCATAACTTCAATGTGGTTGCTATTACTAAAGGAATCTCTCACAGTTCAGATTTCTGACACTCAGCACTCACTTTTCTGTGTGGTTTTCCACACCAGAACAACAGAAAGTCAGTAAGCAGTTTTATTCTGTGCAGCACTGAGCACTACATCAGACACATAAACCTGTTTATAGGTGTAGTCTCTTATTCCAACATACCGATGAAAGCTATCCACCATTTTTAAGTGCACACGCAGATCTTTCTTTGTCAGGTGGTCTAACATCCTTGCATCTACCAGGCATTCCATGAAATAACTTCGGTACTGAGGTAAACCCAGACTGGGGAGCCATTCGTTACCTATCCATTCATGGTTCATATCACCATAAGCCAGGGTCTACAGGGGAAAAAGAAAGGACAGGGGAAATATATTCTTTAGTTTCTTCAAGGTTGCACCACAGACTGAAGACATAATATCTGCTATGCTTGTTTCTAGTGAGACATCCTAGCTTATAAATATGTCTAAAAAACCCCACATTCTGTTTTGACATTGGAGGTGGAAACCACTATGAGATATTTGTCACTAACAGCAGTTTCGCCCATTGTGTCTTGTTTAATATTCGTAGACTTTAAGCATTTGTTTTTTTTGTAACAGGAATCACATGTTCAGTTTTGAGTTTTAAATGCAAGCAAAATTACACACTTGAAATGTTTCATAATTTTACTTGGTATCAGTTGACCTTCTAGAATATTTATGATTGATAGACAATTCCTACTTGGTAATACAAACATGGCCTCAGGGATTCAACTGAAGTTTGTGTCACAGTTTAGCAGGGGCTAGGATTTTGTAAACAGGCTCTAATGACACTTCATGGTTACACCCCTGTAAATCCTTTTGAGACTAAAAGATTATTGTTTGTCAGACAAGCTTATGCTCACCATCATTCATCATCCATCACAGCAGGTGACCAAATACATTTTATTAATGAGGTATTTTCAGCTCTGAACATCTTAAAACTACCATATCATATGTGGAGCTCAATAAATTAATTCTTTAAGACAAGAGCAAACCAGATTCCTCCTAGCATTCAGGCATTAAGCTACTTCATTGTTCAGGTGAATTTTGATGGAGTGAAGAAGAAAACAACACAAGCTATTTTTATATGGGTTGCACAAAATAGATTTTTCATCTCACTGTTGTCAATTATATTGTACCACTAAAACTTAACAGAAATGAACTCAAACTGCAAGATTAACACTTCTTCAGTATGATTGTGCTCAGATCTGAGCATCACTTTCAAGCCTACCTATTTTTTGGTTTTGTTTTTAATGTCTCCTGTCATTCTAGACAAAAGGATAACAGTGCAATCTGGATATATTTTCTATGGGGGAAAATACAGTCCCTTCATCTCTCATTCTTGTGAGATTTTGAAGAGAAAAAGAATGCTATAAGTAAAACTAGTAAGACTGTATAAAATAGTGCATATATTACAGAAAGAAGTTGAAAAATATAAGTAATTTATAGTCTAACTAAAGTGAAAAATTTTCTCCTAATTTTACAAGACTATTTATAGAATGATAGTTGGGTATGATTTATACAATCGTTCTAAAAAAATCTGGTGCAATTTTAGAAATGTTAGATCTCAAACTCTTGGCATATTTTATTAGCCTGTTCTCCAAAATGAGGAAAATATTTTTCCTAGATTTAGCTGGGAAGTAGAAGATGTCTCTGGAATGTAGCCATTTTTTTTTAAGAAAAATATTTACAGAATATGTACTTCTTTGTGCTTTACCTAGCAAACTTGTCCAGAGAATATTTTCTTTATATTAGAACTCTAAAATGTGTCAATCATAATTTAATCATTGAGATACTGGCACAATACTATTCTCCTCTATGCATACAGATAACGTTCTCATTTAACATTCCATTAAAAAAAAATCACACGGAAGGGTCATACCTGAGCCCAGCTGCCTTCTTCAGATTCTTTCTGTGTTATCAGCAGGAAGCAATTAGTAAAGCACGTAAAAAGACAATAAAAATTATTTATAAAAAGATGTGGTTTTCATGTATATGTTACTCTTATTACAAATGAAAACATACATGTAAAATGTACCAGTAAAATAACTCCAGTCAGTGGCAATGTCCTGGGCTAAACTACTTTTGCAATTATAGTACCAAACCCGTAAAATCTTACTAGGGCAAATCTACCTAATTTTCAAGATATAAAGTAATTAGAGCTTGTTTAACTTTACAGCATTATTCTAACCACTTTTTATGCTTCCACAATCAAAACACGATGATTTACTTACAAAATTGGGCATTACAGATGCCATTTTTAATTTCTAGTTAGGTGTTAAAATATTCACAATAAGAAGTTGTCTTCTTGTCAATGTATTTTAAGGGAGGTTTTTCTATAAATCTATTTATGGCAAAACTGTATTTTTCTGGCTGGCCAGTTGAACAGGATCAGCTCTACTTCTGGTCAGTCCAGTGCTGTTGCATTTGTATTATCTTTACCAAGAATAATAAAATTGAAAATGACATCAGTTTTAAAAAGTACTGATGAGAATTTGCTTTATGTGTGTTCCTGAGAAAACTTATAATATTATAGCAAGCATAAATTTCTAAGAAATAATTCTTTATTGTATCAACATTTGTGGATGAGGCTGACTATAATAGTTTCCTAAACTGAAGATAGACTTTTCAGACATCTCACTGTAGGATTGTATCATGTTTTATATGCACTGTTATCGAGTCGTTATGATGTAATGCTAAAAGAAAACCACAAAACCCTATACTTTCTGACTAAAAGATAGATAAAAGTCAGAACTATTGAATAAAATTATTAATATTTATGTCACCATCCCCCCCCAAGCAGGGAGAAGCTTGACAAAAAAATCAATACATAAATGATACACTCCATGAACCCTGAATCAAAAAGCATGAATACACAAGTATGGACACTAAAGGCTATCCATAGTCTTAGCATAATGAAAACACTGAGTTGTGTAATTCACCATTCTGAAGCCTTTTTTTTTTTTTTTTCTATTTAAGCAGATATAAAGCTGTTTTTAGAAGACGTACTATAGCATACAGGGGAAATGTTACACCTGTAATCACAATGATTTCATTTCATTAAACGAGGCTTCACACTGGCAGTGAAACGATTGCGTACTGTAAAACTCCAATACCAGTTTTACGTTAAGACAACTTTTGTGATCACAGTACAGTGTGTAATTTCTTTTGCTGAGAAATGATGTAACAGTTCTTTAAACTCAATTTCACTACTCCCTGCGACTTCCTAATGGCATGCCTGGGAAGCATCCTACAGAAGATATGGCATCTGTGATACAAAAGATACATCCTAGTTCTCTTTCAAGCACTGAAACCATTTTAAATTAAATTGGAAAGACTAACCGTTTTAGCTGGAGCAGCAAGATTTTCCATTTCTTCATGGGTCACCCAAACATTGCCTGAGGGCTATGGACAAGGCCCGCAGGAAGGCAGGTGGGATCCACATTAGGTAAGCAGTGGTAAAGAAGAAAGGCAGCACCACTGTAAGTTAACAGCGCATAGCATCACAATCAGCACAACCACATTCTTGCCTCTACTGAGCTGCAACTAAAGACAACTTTATACAACTTGGTTTGTATCTTTCATCAGAGGGTTCTGAGCAGACACAATGGAGTATTTCAACTCGAATGGATGGATGAAATCTGGCAGAGCACCATCACAAAGGAAAGAATAATTAAAGTTGCATTTCACACACAAGTGGCACATACAACCTTTAGCTTATGGCTCTGTCTTGAGGTAAGCTTCAGTCCTCAAAGATTTTCCAGCCTAAATATTCTGCATACATCACATGCTCATACTGTAATCTAAATAATGATTACTTCTAACATGTTTCTGTAAATTGAAATTGTTGAGAGAATTCACTTGTAAAACACTTTTTCCTCATTCTGTTGTTTTCAGTTAGATTATTACTAGGACACTCTGATGAGGCAGGGAGGGTGTGTGGGATTCTGCTGTTATTTTCTTGAGAGCTGAAGTAAATTAACTCCTTTCCTGAGAAAGACAGGACACAGAAAGACTTGGAACTCAGAAATCCACATTCCAGTGCAGGGCAGCTTTGTGCTGCCAATTACTCAGGGAGTATTAAAAAAAAAAGCAAGGCAAAATTATTACCCGTGTTTCTAGGTTGAATGTGATGCTGTCTCAGTGTCAATGTTCTTATGGTTTGAAATATGCTCTTGTGCTTTTAAAACAAAAATGATGTTTTTTAGTAATTTAACAAGATGTTGAGTGTATACTACTTTAATTAGGTGAAATTCATTACGATTCATAGTATTACCATGGTTATGACATACACAACTGTGCTGATGGGAGAAAATATCAGATGGGGGAACGATAATATTTGAAGAAACTTAGCACATTAAAGATAGTAAAGGCCAGTCAATAGGAACATTAGAGTCCTGTTGCCCATTGCTTACACAGTTCAGTGGATCTGGTACCCCTCAAAGGTATCTCAGTTCCAATTTTCACCATGAATTCCATGAAGATAACAGATTCAAAAACATGAATAATATTGTTAAAATAACTATTATTATTTTACTATTAGAATTCTGGGCTGCACTCTTTAGTAGTCTTTGTCCTTCACATCTATGCCATATTTCCCATTTGATCAAGCCCAATTCATTTATTAGTTTTTTCAGTCCCTGTTGCCTCTTTCACAGCCATCACCATCAGCCTCTCAGCATGAAGCTCCCATCATGTTGTTTCTTTTTTATCTCATCAGTTTGGCCTGTTATTTTTTATTTTCCACTAAAAGGTATTTTTATTTATACTATATAAATTCTTATTCTCCCCTAATCTACTTTCTTGCTCTTTTTCATATATACCCTTTTTTCCTTTCAGACTTGTACCTCTGTTTCTTCTTGCTTCCTTACTGTCTGCCACTACTCTACTTTCCTCACCAAATGCGCATGCTCCAGTTCTCCTTTCACACCTCCAATCATTTCTCTTAAAAGCATGAAGAACTAAAATCTGCTTACACAGATTAGACAACATCCGAAAGGATGCAAAAAAGGGGACTAGGAGTGAGGTTCAAAAGAGCTGTGCTCCTATGTGACCTTTCCCCACTCCTGCCTTGCCACCACTGCACTCCCCCAAACAAAATAAGAGAAATAAGTAAACAAAGAGAAACACAATCTGATTTGGTTGGATGACTTGAAGGAAGAGGAAGGCAATAATGCAGGTAAAATTACAAATAAGACTCTCAATACTGGCTGTTTAGAGAACATCAAGGTTAACCAAAAGCAAAACTTAAAAATAATCAGAATATCTGCTATAAACAATCCAGAGAGTGACGAACAGGTCCTTCTAAGTCTGTGTAGGACAGTTCCTGCTGATTGTGATGTGTGTGTTACCACAGAGCCACCCTCATACTATGAAAGACTTTCTGCAGACTCCTGCAGGGAAAGAAAAAGTTATCTGAACAGGACTCACTGTTCTGGATGTTGGAGGTGCTGATGGACTCGTCAGTGATACCATCTCCTGGATTGCTAATCGGAGCTTTAAGCGATGAAGAGGATTGCTGATCCCAATTTCTCTTTGGATCTCAGTATCAGACAGAGCAGACATAATAGCTCCACTCTTCACATTGGCACGGCAGGCAGCAACATACCAGGCTGGCATGCCTAGCCAGAGCTGTTCAGAGAAAGGACACATTTATTTCTCAAATGAAATCAACCATCAAGGCACCTATCACTCTGAATAAGCCTGGTAATATACACAAATTATTATGAATATCATAGCCTTTAATAGAACAAAATTGTTTTTTAAGTTTTGCTATTGCCATGGCTTCATGTGAATTCTTCTTGTTGCTTTCACTGTAACCAGAACTTCAAGGCAAGGGTTGCTTTGAATAATTTCAGAGCTGTGTGTCTCTATCATCTGGGCTTGTCCTTTCCCAGGCCTTCAATGAGTAAGTAGTGGCACCAGTCAATGTCATTGCCCATTTGACAGTCTTATCATATAGAGAAAACAATCTAAAAGGAATTGATTATGTGATTTTTCTACTTCTGTACTAAACCATTTTTTACTCTTTTCCCACGTTAGTTCCCATGGTGTACTCATGTAGCACAATCTTAGACTTCTCAGCTGTTATTTTCTTGGTAGAAATAAACCAAGCACAGTCCAGATACCAGTCTAGTGAGGACTGAGCTTACTGTGAATTTGGAAAGAGTCTGGTATGGTGTCACATCCCAGCTAGAAATACCGGCTAGAAGCTGCAGCAAAACGTAAGCCCAACTACATTACCTGAGGATTTAGATGATACTTCTGTACTTCTGACTTCATGCTTTTACACTCCTTATGTTAATTTTACCAGCCTAGGTCAGTAACAGCCCCTTGCTTCACCACAGTCTTTACTTGTAAGAGGTACTCTCTACTCCTAGCAGTTTTTTTCTGGGACCTCCTGAGTATAAATTTTTGGGGGGTTTCTCAGCTGTTTCATTTTGTGCTGCCTCATTAATGACTGTCATTGTTTACAGCTCTTTGCTTCCAAAGGAGATAATTCCATGTCAGGGATACACGTGTGGGAAGTTGTTGTCACAGTATTAAACACATTACGCTATAGCAAAAACTGTGAGAAGGACGTAAGCAATGAATGCCATAAGTACTGAGAATGTGGGGATAACATCATCGAATACAGACAGGCCTAGTTTTGTGCATCTTGAATAGGCCATCAGGATTATCTAATTTCATTAATTCTTTCTCTTAATAGTAGCTTACTAAAAGAGGACACAGTGTCAAGGAAATGAGTCAAAATATGCCATCAGTATATTCACCAACAGATCTGGAAAGCAGAGACAACCCTTTCCACTGATGGGATGAGCCACTGCCTTCCATTCGATGCTAGTCTGAATCTTAAAAATATGAGCAAATTCCAACTAACGGTAATAAAATACAAACTTTCATGAAAGTAAAAAAAAATGTAAACCAAAATTATGTAGATTATACCCAGCTGCATTTAAACGAAGGGCCAGGAGGAAACTGACCACAACTTTAAAATGTATTTCCTCTTCAGGAACCTGCTTAGTAAGGTTCCATGGGATATAGCCCTAGAGGGCAGGGGGGCCCAAGACTCTTGATTGATATTCAAGGATCACCTGCTACAAATAGGAGTGTTGTGTCCCGACTAGAGGGAAGTGCAGCAGGAGGGCCAGGAGATCTCCTTGGATGGATAAGGAGCTGCTGAGGAAACTTAGAGGGGAAAAAGAGGCTTATAAAAGGTGGAAGCAAGAACAGGCGGCCTGGGAAGAATACCGGGATGTTGTCTGGGAAGCTAGGGACCACGTTAGGAAAGCTAAGGCCCAGTTAGAATTAAGCTTGGATAGGGATGTGAAAGATAACAGGAAGGGATTCTATAGGTACCTTAAAAAAAGATAGACTAGGGACAACATGGGCTCCCACCGGAAGCTATCAGGAAAACTGGCTACCCTGGATTTGGAGAACGCCGAGGTTCTGAATGACTTCTTTGCCTTAGTCTTCACTGGCAAAGGCTCTGACCACACCACCCAAGTCTTGGAAGGCAGATGCAGGGACTCTGACAATGAAGACCCTAGGCCCACTGTAGGAGAAGATCTGTTCTGAGACCATCTTAAGAACCTGAACATGCACAAGTCCATGGGACCTGATGAAATCCATCCGCGGGTCCTGAAGGAGCTGGCAAATTAAGTTGCTAAGCCACTGGCCATCATATTTGAAAAATCATGGCAGTCAGGTGAAGTTCCCGACAACTGGAAAAAGGGAAATACAACCCTCATTTTCAAGAAGGGGAAAACGGATGATCAAGGGAATTACAGACCAGTCAGTCTCACCTCTGTGACTGGCAAAATCTTGGAGCAGATTCTCCTGGAAGGCATGCTAAAGCACATGAAAAGCAGCAAGGTGCTTGGTGAGAGCCAGCATGGCTTCACTACGGGGAAATCCTGCCTGACCAATTTGGTGGCCTTCTATGATAGGGGTAGGGAACTGATGCACAGGGGTAGAGCAGTTGATGTCATCTACCTAGACTTGTGCAGAGCATTCGATACTGTCCCACACGACATCCTTGTCTCTAAATTGGGGAGACATCGATTTGATAGGTGGACCACTCAGTGTATAAACAACTGACTGGATGGCTGCATGCAAAGAGTTGTGGTGAATGGCTCAATGTCCAGGTCACAAGGTGAGGTGGGCTGACGCCAGTCTTATGAAGTTTAACCATGCCAAGTGCAAGGTCCTACACCTGGGTCGGAGCAATCCCAGACAGCTACAGGCTGGGCAGAGAAGAGATTCAGAGCAGCCCTGCGGAGAAGGACTTGGGGGTGCTGGTCGATGAGAAAATGAACATGAGCTGGCTTCAGTGTGCGCTCGCAGCCCAGAAAGCCAACCGAATCCTGGGCTACATCAAAAGGAGCGCGACCAGTAGGTCGAAGGAGGTGATCCTGCCCCTCTACTCTGCTCCCGTGAGACCTCACTTGGAGTATTGTGTGCAGTTCTGGTGTCCTCAACATAAAAAGGACATGGATCTGTTGGAACAAGTCCAGAGGAGGCCACGAGGATGATCAGGGAACTGGAGCACCTCCTGTATGAAGATCGGCTGAGAAAGTTGGGGCTGTTTAGCCTGGAGAAGAGAAGGCTGCGTGGAGACCTCATAGCAGCCTTCCAGTATCTGAAGGGGGCATATAGGGATGCTGGGGAGGGACTCTTCATCAGGGAATGTAGCGATAGGACAAGGGGTGATGGGTTAAAACTTAAACAGGGAAAGTTCAGGTTAGATATAAGGAGGTTCTTTACTGTGAGGGTGGTGAGGCACTGGAACAGGCTGCCCAAAGAAGTGGTAAATGCTCCATCCCTGTCAGTGTTCAAGGCCAGGTTGGACAAGGCCTTGGGTGATACGGTTCTAGGGTGAGGTATCCCTGCCCATGGCAGGGAGGTTGCAACTAGATGATCTTAAGGTCCTTTCCAACCCTAAGTATTCTATGATTCTATTTAATATTTCCATTTAATTTTACTTTCTTTTTATACATGCAGTTGAAAAGCTACAAAGCATAAATACTGTGAGTTATCCACCCTGCAGAAATGGAATCAAATATTTGCTGTTCATTAAGTAAATTAATTCTTTAACAAATTAGGTACATTATTTCTGTAACAAACAGCTGTCTACCAGAAGGTTAAATTAAGGTGAAAACAGTCCCTAAATAGAAGGTACAGTAATTTTTCCAGGAAGAGAACCTAGATATGAAAATTGATATACTTTTCTAGGATTAGTTCAGAAAACCCACAGTTCTCAACTGTCTATGTAAGGTATAAATGAACAGAATAAACACAAAGGCTGAAAAGTTAAGCCTTGAAAAGTCTGGCAATGTCACAACTGTGATCACACATACTTTTAATTTGGGCGTTTGTCTCCTTTAACATTAATTTTGGTTTTTAGTCGAAGGGTCACATGTTATATTGTCCCCAGGATAGTATGAAATGCACAGTGTCCATGTGCCAACTGAATGCACTGATGCTCACTGAATAAATAGAGTACTTCTGCCGTCATCTCTTTTTATCATCAATATTGAATTTGTGTTTAATACTGCAACATAAACTTCCTCATTGGCTTTCCTGTGCTACTCGAATCATGTTTCCCAAGAAGTTCATAAACATCAATTTTTCTTTACAGCCACTCTCTGGGGCAGTGGAAAGCACATCCTGTTTTACAGCTAAGAATCAAGTGGGGAAAAAAAAATTAGGGCTTAACTTATCAGAAATGTGTCCAAATTTTGGATCACCCCAGAGGATATCAAGGGCAAATTTTTCTCAGCATTCAGAATTGTATAAACCCTTTTATGGTCACATTTCCAGCAAATCAGCTTTGACTGTAAGATTGAATATTTCCACCTGATAAAAACCTGGTTAAAAAACTCCCCAAAGTCATACGAAAAAGTCACACAGTAGCCAAAGTAATGAACATTCTATATTAACAGTGATTTTTTTTTTGGGAGAAAGATATAATCCCATTTTCCAAGGTCATGTGCAAACACCTGAACTGCCTTTCTGCAATTTTCATTTATTCTTTTTCACTAGGTGCCTTCAGGAATTCCAACATGAAGCAGAAATTCTGCAGAAATTCATCTTCTTTCATTCCTCACCCTTCATTTATTCCCTGAACATAGTCCTATTAAAGCTTTAAAGAGGGACCTTTAATTTTTTAATGGAAGGGGAAAACTGGCAAATTCTCATGGTCAATGGATGATAACTACAGCAGACATGAGAACAGGTGAGATTGGATGGTCAATGGATGATAACTTACAGCAGACATGGTCAATGGATGGTAACTACAGCAGACATGAGAACATTGAGATGCCTGGTATAGACAACAGAAATAGACACCTGTTCCTTGAAGCAACAAAATCATGCACCTCTACTGAAATGATACAACCTTGCCATATCAAAGTGACTGTGTACTTGTGTAAGAACATACCCCCCTTCTCCCCTTGGTATCTGGGTAAATATTTTTGAATAGATCCATCACCTAAAAATTCTATTGATTTTTTTTTTGTCAAAATTAATGGATAGCTCTGCTGAATGTTTCTCTGGATGGGTTCCAAAATCCTTTCATTTAGGTGCTCCAAATAAAAGAGCTGTCTAGAGACTGGATTTCAGAGATGGAGGCACTGCCTGTCAAATCAGAGACATTTCAGTCTAGGTCTGCCACATCCCAGGTGAAAGTGCAGTGATGAACACCTTTTTATCATGTTCTTAGTGATATCTAGGTCAATCAGCCCTTTCCCATTACATTTTAAAAGATAGAAAGTTACAAATTCTTTAAATTTATTAAAAATCCTGAAGATGTAGCTTCTGTGTTAACCTCCAATAAAATTTGATATCTAATTTCTGGTTTTTCCTTTTCACATCATCCTACATATACTGTCTGTGGAATTCCTATATTAATTAGAGACTGAGAAATTATCAGATTTCACAAATTTGGGGATTCAGGTGCACTTGATAAGCCTTTTTGCCTGTCTTCATCTTCCTTTGCAATACTGGTTTGTTTTTTTACAGCTCTAGCCTCTGATTTCCACCATCCAGTATCAAAAGCTGCTTAATGCTCATGGCTCTGTGCAGAGGGGAGGGAGGAGGAGACTTCACAGTCTCTTAAGGAATCTGTAAGGACAAACACAGCAGTCTGCAAAAGTGACTTACATTTCCAAATTATGGCCAACACTTACCTCCAGCCAGGCAACCACCGTTGGCCCATCCCACTGTGCAAAAGGCAAACCTTTTCTCCGAGCTTCTTCCAGAAGTTCATGTCTAAAAATGGATCAAAAAAGGTTAAATACACAGAGGTATGTGCAGGGACAATATAGATGCAACCGTGTCATTTTGTTACGGGTAACAACAGTGAATCACGATGACAGGTATAGAAAAGACACAGAAAACCCCAGTGAACAGTAGGCTTCCTTCCCCTTTTGGACTGTTTCCTCTAGGTGCACTTGGACATCCCTTTAAACACCCAACATACAACAGGTGAGGTTTCTGTTTGTTGTTAGCTGAAGTAGTAGAGAATTGGGATACCCTGTATATAAGGATCACACATACAATAGAAGACATTAGCAAATAGAGAAAACTGAGGGATTCCTCTTGAGGCTGGCTTAGCTCTGGTCTGGTAATGTGCCAGAAACCCCCCAGATTGCCAGCCTCCAGACCTGAGTGAAGCATGGAAGTAACTGCCAAGTCTGAGTGTTTGAAACACTAAACCTGCTGGACCAGCTGTGTACAATTCTAGGGTGTCTTGAGTACAGCTATTCTACATCTTAAATAAGCCAGTCATGGCTAATTAATGTTTGGTTGTATCTCTGATAGTTCCATGTTAGATTTTTTAATTTTTATTGCTTATATAAGGAAGAAATGCATGTGCTTTAGATGTATACATTTTTATAATTATAGATCGATGTGATTTCTAAATTTTATACATATACATAGATACAGTTCTATTGAGTTGATCATATAACAATCAAATTCCTGCATTTGCAGCTTCTCTGGCCTGCAGGGAGTATATATGTAAAAAATCATTCTCAGAGCTTAAAATATACTTTCAATACAGCAGTATGAAATATTTGGTAGTTATGTATAGGCCAGTCAGCCAGACTATCCAAAAAATATTCGAGATTAAACATATTCAACCATTTGACCAGACATTTTTATTCCTGGAGCAGGAATAAAACCCCATTGTGGTGGTGGCATAGAAAAAGCAGTCATTCAAAAGTCTTTTTTTTTCCCGGTATTTAACAACATCCTTTCAGCTGCCTCCTACTGAGTGAAACACAAAAGAATACTCTCAGCAGCAAGCTGCAGTGAAAAACAAATTAGACAGGGACTGTGCTAATGTAGTATTAAAATTTGCTTACATTCCCACATAACAAGGAAATCTTGGAATTACAGCTTCAGTTTTGCTCTGTCTTCCTTTATTACTACAGCCTTTGTGGTTCAATTATCCCTTGGCAATTCTTCACTGTCTTAGCAGCATTTCAAATGTATGTACTACGAAATCACAAAAGATAGAAGCAATAGAGTGATCTCACTTGCATGGACTCCTCTGGGGATTTCTGCACTGCAAAGGGGCCAGGCTGAGAGAGCTTGGCTTTAGTAGGGAATGGAATTCAAATATTCAATTTTGCATATGTGTTTAAATCCCTAGCTCTGAATATTAATAGAAAGGCAGCTGCTTTGTTTTCTATGCTTATGGTGTAGCAATATGCAACAAGTACTTGACAGGACTACTGAAGTTTATCTAACTTCTCTTCCCACACATCCTTTGCAGCATAGCTTTGTTCTATGTCACTTAGATTAGAATCATATAATGGTTTGGGTTGGAATGGACCTTAAACCTCATCCAGTTCCGACTTCCTGCCATGGGCAGGGACACCTTCCACTAGACCAGGCTGCTCAAAGCCCCATCCAACCTGGCCTTGAACACTGCCAGGGATGGGGTAGCCACTTCTCTGAGCAACCTGTGCCAGTGCCCCACCACCTTCACAGTGATTTTATTTTTTCCTAATACCTAATTTAAACCTACCCTCTTTCATCAAAGCCATTTCCCCTTGTCCTATCCACACATGCCCTTGTAAAAAGTCCCTCTCCAGACTTCTTTTTGGCCCCCTTTAGGTACTGGAAAGCTGGTTTAAGGTCTCCCTGAGCCTTCTCTTCTCCAGGCTGAACAAGCCCAACTTTCTCAGCCTATCTTCATACAGGAGGTGTTCCAGCCCTCTGACCATATTCATTCCTTTGGACTCACTCCAGCAGATCCATTTCCTTCTTACGCTGCAGGCCCTTAAAGCTGAACGCAGTACTGCAGGTGTGGTCTCATATGAGTGGAGAACAGGGGGAGAATCACCTAACCTCGAACTGTTGTCCATGCTTCTTTTAATGCAGCCCAGCATATCATGTCCAAAGATATGTAGATCTATACTTGCTTTGCAAGAAAGCATAATCCTTAATAAAATGTGTGGCCTATTTCTTTGATTTGGTGTGAAATTCCTGCATGTCCTCAGGAAGTGGGGTGCCTGCAGAATAGGCATTGGCACTTAAAGGTGTTACCGTCATGAAAAACTTAATACCGTATGCTGGAATTATAAAGTACATATTTCTAAGGAGTCTTGTGTGACCTTGCAACATTTGAACTGGCCTGAGGCTTGGTGCGGAGGATTAGCATTATTCCAGTGCTTCTTAAACAAATACATTCTCCCAGAGCAGAAAAGCACTTCGGTTACTTCAGAGGTAGTCAGGCTCACAGAGCTATAGGAAATATAGTTGTGGTTACTGATTTTGTCTGAAGAAAATGGGTCCAGGCCAGAAATGGGATGCCCTATATATATGCTATTGCTGAAGACTGCAGTATGATAAACATAATCCAAAGGGTCTTTGGAAGTGGTTTGGGTTTAAAATATTTTTAATGTAAAGTTAAATCCTTTACTCGGACATCCATAGCAAACACAGGCATCATAAGGCTTGTGCCTCACTTACTGAGGGGGAGTACTAAAGAATTTTTATAATATTTCTTTCCCTTGAAAAGAATTTATACTTTAGAATTTATACTTCCCTCCCTCAGATATTTCTTTTAAACAACTCTCCAATATTAAAGTTTATTGAAATTAGATTTTACTTTTTAACAGTATTCTTTGACTACTTTTAAATACACACTAGGAGATCTGCACATCCTGACCTTACAATTTCTAAACCAGAACTAAACCAAGAATTTCTATTTTTGACTAGAAGAGATGTTCTTTAGCTGTCAGTCAAATAAACTTCTGGGGTTTTTATATGAACAAGCACTATAAAAGAATGCCATTCTTTCAAAATAAGTTGAAAGTGTCATGAAGCAGAAAACATGCTTTATTTTGATCAATAGTGCAAATAATCAGAAAAATTAATCCAGTGATCTGCCTATTTTGGAATATAATCCAAATATTTTATAACAACCTGAATGAACCACTGTCCTTGTGGGGTATTCACTGGCTTCCTGAAAACAGAAGGTCCTCAAGAGCAAATGTTGGCAACTGCAGTTCAATTTTCCTTATAAAAACAAGAGGAAGAAACAAATACCCTAAAGCTCATCACTCCCTCTTTCTTTCTTTACAAAAATAGGGTTTTGGAGATTGCAAATATCATTTTAGAGTTTCTCTAATTTGGAAGATGCTTGGCAGGGGAACATGGAGATTTTCTCATCTTAAGACTTTGTCAGAAGAGTACTATTTGTTACAATGTGTCCACTTTGCACTGGTAAGGAGGTAATTAAAATGATATTATTTCCATGCTTATTTAGTTTTTTGGCAACATATGAAAACAAGCTGATGAGGAAGAACTGACATTAATTAATGATTACTGTAAATGCTATTATTTTGCACATAGGGCTTTAAATCACTACCACTGGAATGAATTTCAAATTAAAGCTGTATTTTTAAAGATAACATTATTATTGTTCAAGAATAAATTCCTCTTCTTGGAGATATTATGAGAATAGCTGAAATATCCTATTTAAAATATATCATACCCTCAGTCTGGTTTTGTAAAGTCAGGAAATTTCATGAACATCAGATATTTAGCATTTCTCTAAAAATTGAGATGCATCTATTTGCTTTAGAGAGAGTACCTCATCAAGCAGGCTGTCTTCAATCTTTTATGAAAGACAGAAAAGAAAAAACATGTAACGCCAACTTGCCAAGTTGTGTGTCAGAGAAGTGCTGTTAAGCTTCCCTAGCACTGACTTCTGGTCCTCCTCAAATTTACTTTCTAAAGATGCTGTTACATTGGGCCATTTTCTTTAGCACACAAATAAACCTACCAAGCTGAGAGCAGAACTGTCTCATATCATGGGGAATATGAATGCTTCACTATCCCTCTGGACAGCAGAGGTACATAGGAGCAAAAGGAAGAGGGGAACAAAAAGCAAAACTATGTTATCTTGCAAATTTGCTGTTTTATATATATCCTTTCTTTGCACTAGGAAAACTTTAGCTCTCTATGAGCAGCCCTCACCAACTCATTACATAAAATGCAATGAACTTCATTAAAAATAAGAATAATCTTTAAATAGTCTTAGTGTGGGAAGTTAGCAAGATCTTGATTTAAAGAGTGTCATTCAGTGACATTCAATTTTCTTTATGAAGAAGAGGCTCCCTCCCATGAAGCAAACAAGAAATAACAGCTTAGGAATTCTGATATACATAATGCATAGAGTCTGTGTAGTCCAGACACTGTCTTGATAGGACTTTAACAATGTTTCAACACAGATCTGCACATTTCTCCAAATAACAGCGTTTACTCTGATAGCCCTATTAGGGTTCACATGAAAAGTACTAAGGACTATTATATTAAACATATTGTGATGTCTTAGTTAAAATGTAATCATAAACGTGAGATGAACTTAAAAGCACGCATGGTGAAATCAAGAAATCATCTTTGCAAAATACAAGCAGAATTTGTTTTAAAAATTTTGGCTAATAGGAAATTTAGATTTTGTGAAATGGCCTTTACTCATAGATGTTTTCTTAAAAAAGGTAACAAACAAAAGTGTTTACCTTGCAGATCCTCTGATTATTATTACTGACACTATCATGATTTATCACCAGTACTAGAATGTTTAATTTACCACAAAATATTTTACATGATTCTAACAGAGAAGTAGACAGTAATGATAGACCAAATATGTTATATTTGTCTGAATAATCCCATGATTTCAATTTAAGATTAAGCACATCTGCCTCCTGAAAGCAAACATACTCATTCTCAAAGACTTATAAATTCAGGAGAGA